TTTTGACCACTGTATATCTAGGTCATAGGTGTAAAAGTTGACTATAATTTTAAAATTTTATTTTTTAGGGTCTCAATCGCCGGATACAAACCTGTGGTCATTTCTTGCCGAAACCCGCGCCATCTTTGATCCGAAACTCAAGAAACCTTCTTTTCGAGGAGAGGTCTTTATTTTCTTAGAATTGATCTTAAAGATTAACTATACTCTAAAGTATAATTTGTTAACTTAAACATTCTCGATCCTTCCAAAGTTTTTCTTTAGCTTCTCCACAAATCTCTTCGCGAACATGTTGGAACGTCGCAGCTTGGCGATATCGAAGCAAAGTAAGGAATCGACAAGACTTTTAGTTTTAATTCGGTAATTCATGTTTTGTTCCAGATTCGTCTGCACATATGTTGATGGAGCCATGATACCACCGAGACTGCTCGTTTTTCGGTCTTACTTTTCAATGTTTTGCCTAAACTTTTATTTCCAGGAATTTCCCCATCGAAGTTCAGACAGACGAGGATCATCGGGAGGTGGAAATCGTCGACGCACTTATGGCATCAACGTTTGTTTTGTCGTTGTTGAACTTTATCATTTTTCCTTTATCGTTTTAGAGCGGCTCCCGTCTTCCCGTCTCTCCACTCGGTCTCTCCGATGGAGGAGTTCTCGCAAAGAATCCCAGTCTCGCCCTCTTGACTGAATATCATCGATTCTATGCGGTGAGCAAATGTTGTTTATGAATCATGTTTATTCTTTAGAAAGCCGCCCGCCATCCAACTCCTTCACTATTCCTTTCATTAGGCACTGGCTACAACGAGCCGAGACGCACAAGTGGAATTCATTTTGGAGATTTGCCGAAGAATCGCGTTTTCTTCGATCGGCGTAAGTTTTTATCAAGTGGACAGTTATTGGATCTTTAACTTTTTGAATCATTTCCATTTAGATTTTATGCGCACGACGAGGAATCTCTTTGACGTTTTTGTTAGCCAAGCGCGTGTATTTTTTTGTAAAATCTGGCGATTTCAATCATTTCATTTTAGTCAACAAGCAGCGACACAGCATGTCTTGATCAAGCAGCCGCTTGGTGTCTTGCTACGAGAAGTCCCTATTTTCGCATCAATCCGCCAAATATTGTAAGTTTGTTTTTCAATCGACTTGAAAAGAGTAAATAAATAATTGTATTCAATTTTAGAATCGTCTTTCATTGACATGTACTGATGCAAAGAAAGTCGCCGATTTTCTGTGGGGAGTCATGGTTTGTTTTTCGCGTTTTTATCAGCACTATAGTCTTTTAGAATCTAAAGATATCCAAATCCAATTCATAATAGCTTTTTACAGTACTCGCTGAGGTTTATCTCCGCACGACGGCTCGCCATGATCTCGATCAACTCGCCAGTTTCATCAAAAGGTTGAAATCTTAGCTTGAGAAGTAGTCTATTTGTTGACTTTCTTAAGCTTTATTGATTAAATGATTTGCATTCTAGAAACAATTTTCTTTTACCGTTTGTTATTATGGCTAAAATAAAAGTTCTTTATTACAATCAGGAAAATCTTAATGGAATTTATTTTTTACGGGTCGATCGCAGCTTCTTGGTGTTCCACCTAAAACAATGTGATGAGTAAAGTTCGAAACAAAGCTTTTAAAACGTACCTGACAAGCGTAGCATTTCTCCGTCAGCTCTGTCCAACACAATTTGCAATATGTGGCAGGGCATTGTTCACATTTGTGTGTTTGCCACGCGCGAAGATATGTCTAAAATTTGTGAAATGGAAAAAATAACCCGAAAAGCAACCTTACTTGACATAAGAAACACTCAAATGGCCTGTACAAATTGTCGACGATCACGCGGCGTATCAATGAGTTTTTCGCGAAACAGAAGCTAAAATAAAAGATGAATTTATTCACCATATCAAAGCTTTACTACAAATCATCATCGTCCTCATCTTCCTCATCTTTCTCGACTTTTCGTTCTTTTTCGCCATTTGACGAAGAAAGCAATGCGTCGACGAGCCTCTTCACGAGCAATCAGGCTTTGATGTTTCAAACACTAAAAAGTCAAAGAATCATTATTGATTAAAATCAGTTGGCCTTTCATCGTAAAAACTCAGACTTTTTCTTAATTTAACTTAAAAAATTTGGCCAACAAACATACCAGGTTGGCGGGCCCGATCACCTGAGCACAGGCTTTTCGAGAAAACATATAGGGCCCAAGACGCAGAACAAGATCACTCGTTTTGTGGTAAAAATGCAAGCAAAACCTAGAAAAATGCAAATCTTTCAGCAAAATAACCAAATCAACCTCGAAAAGAAGAGCAAAAGGAATGGAAGAGGAAAATCGTACCCACATAATCATAATCGGGTCGAAATGGCTCTATCTAAAGGAAAAATCACAAGCTATATAAGCATCAAAATAATCTGTTTTTAATAAAACAAACCAAGCAATCATCGAAAACAAAAATCAGGATGAACGGTTTCATTTTAAGTTGGAAGAGTTTCTGCAAAATTTTCGGGAAGATCCCCACGCCCGTCACCTAAAGTGAGAAAACAATTAGCAATCTACACTTTAACTCTAAACTGACGTTTAAATGAAGTCGGCGGTAAAAATGTGCTGTTGGCATCTTTCGAGATCCCCTTCAAATATCTAAAAGATAGGTATTAAAAGGTAAAAAATAGGCACTAACAACATTCATTGCTCGATAAAGCAAATGATCAGCAACTTCTGATTATTATCACCACCACACAAAGAGCACCAAATTTCAAAACGGTTAACCAGAGTTGGTTTTAATTTTTCCCATTTCCGAAGCCTAAAATAAAGAGGCTTTTAGGAGAGGCAGCATCGTAAATCAAAGGAACCTGACATATTGGCGTGTTCCACCTAACTGCCGTTTCTCCAAGCTCGATAACGTACCCACAAATGGAAGGGCCTTTCCCAGTTTCTCGTTTCCCTCCCATAGATCGATTTTGCGGAAAGCACTTAACATACAAAACGTGAGAAGTTCTGTTCATCTATTCAACTCTCTACGAGGTAATACTCCGATTTTCGAAGCCCAAATCATTCGATGTACGCATCAGACATCTTGAGACTTTTTTAAAATCGAGATAGATGGCCAAAACGAAAGAGAGCGACGAGAACACTTTGCAAAGATTTGAAAATATAATAAGATTAACAGTGATGAACATGTTTAAAGGTTGTTTAATGTTTCTAGAAACGTATTTTTAACAAACTTATAAACTGAAGGTTTGAATGTACCTTTGCTAATCGCATCAGATGATCAATTTTTGCTTCCAGGGTTTCTATGTGAAGAGCTGATGCAACTCTCGGTACCCTCCACCATTACCACTCGAATCTAAAAGGAATATATGCAAGGACCAAACATCAAGAAAACCCCACCTTTGTCTCCATTTCTTCAGCAATTTGCTTTGCAATGTGACCTATATCGATGCTTTCTCTAAAAGCCAAACATTTAGCTTGCCAAAAAAAAACAAACTGTTCAAAATCTTGTAGCACGAATTTTTTCCGGCACACTATTGCATACGTCGTAGCCTTGTTCTTTTCACGTTTATCACTCTGAATTTGCTCATTGTATCAAAAAGGTACGGGGTAACATACCTCACAAATATCCAAAGCGTCAAGCGGCTTGCAAATTAAAGTGCTCAACAAGAACGGCGCTTGTTGTTGACATTGTTCCTAAACAATAAAAACAATAGCATTTCCTATCAGAAAAATCACTTTTAATGCAGCAAAAGCTTGTGAACAGATGAGACTCCTTTTATCGAAAATTTGCGTGCATTGCTGCTCCATCTTTTTGCCCATGGCACGTACAAACTAAAATGAAAGTTAGTTTTATTTATCGCCGAAAAAAGTTGACACCTTTTCATCGAATTTGGTGTAAAATGGCTTGCGAGAAAGTGACCGTTCGATTATCCTCATTGAAAATGTTTGCTCATTGTGCCAAATCCTAAGAAAAGCATCCTTAAATGGTTATCAACAAACCCTACCAAAGCCGATTGATCAATCATTCGACTCAACTTTTCATCATCACTTTCTAAGTAATAACAATAACAACAATAACAATAACAACAACAATAAGCATAATCAAAATCGAGGTATTACCATACCTTTTTACTTCTTTCTGATCCCAACGAACGAAAGGTCTTCCTTCAACTCGGGAATTTTGGCTAAACAAAACAAAGCAAAAGAACTGATTATCTAAAACGCTTATAACTTACTCAGCGTGTCTTTCAGCGTTTCACGCATAGGTCCAATCCGTGTCTTCCTTTGGTACAGACCACAGCTTAAGAAGAAAAGTAAACATTTAAAGAGATGTTTTGCCTCCGTCGAGACTTTCACTCCATAGAGCTTAGGATTGTCGGTGGCAATCCTAGAACTTATGGATTAGCTATAGTAAATTACAAGATTACTTGAGGGGAGTAATTGATGTTGTCGATTGGACCAGCGCATTTGTTGTCGAACACAAAGATGCCCAATAGGTCTAGAAGAGAAGGCAATCATAAATCAAAGAAATTCCCGACCTTGTCCACTTGTGCCAAAAGAGCCTAGGACAAAAGATCCATAGTCCACAACGATACGACTAAAAAAGTAAACTTGAGTAAGTAACTGAAGTAACTGAAACGGAATAAACTCTACCTTGCTATGGGCAAAAGCTGGCGTGTTTCCGATGATTACAATCCATTTTAGAATGATTGACGGTACTCCGTGATATTCGATGGCAAAAGTTGATATTTTTCGAGACGAGATAATATAGAACCTAGAAAGAGTTGATTCATAAAAATACAAAACAAATAAGAACTCACCAATTGAAAGGAGAAAAGCCGATGAAAAGGTTGACGATGAAGCGAAGCTTTGCCGTAGTCAGTCGATTCACTAAACTTTAAAAAAGTAATAAGGCTACATTAAAAAGTAGTAAAGCTCCGAAATAAAAAAATGAAATAAAAGGAATTGAGTTATCAGCAAGCGTAGAGCATAGGATACTCTCAAAAACTGATGGGAGCCATGTCCACGAAAAATCGATGTAAAAGTTCCATCCAAGGCGTTTCCTGAGTCTCTTTCTTTTTTCATCGTCAAATTTCAGCGGCTTGGGTGGCCACATTCCGAGAAAAATAGGAAGGAAATGGGAAAATTTTGATGAAGAAATTTGAAGCCCAATTTATCGAATTTAATTTTCGAATGTTAATTTGCACGCAGAACCATTAAGCTGTTCACCAGCAATTAAAAATCGTACACCTCACACGTGAAGGTACGTGAAGGTGAAAGTTGAAAGTTGTTGAAAAGTTGAAGTTGAAGTTGAAAGAAGTGAAAAGTGAATAAAAGCATTTATTAGGCTGTTCAGAAAGTCTTTTCATTCCTTTTCGTACTTCCGTTGAAAGATACGGGATCACCACTTCACCTATGGTTTCCACTAAATAAAAACAGTTTATTGTTTAATTTTCCAAATCTTTTAAGCTAGTTTCAGTTCACTTTCAAGCAAATCCGAGAGTGAAAAACGCCTTTTTCGTAAAAATCCATAAAAACCTCTACGAAGAAATTGGCTGAATCGATTTCTCTGAAAATTTGACTATTTACCTAACTTTTTGTGTTCTTCTTTTATCTATTGACACCAAGATAGGTTTCTAGCCAAACTGACTAGGCCGTATCATCGAGCCGTCGCCCTTTTGACTACCCGACTTTATACCTCCAAAAATAATACATTTCCAATGTTTCTTCAGTGCTGTGAGCAAGCATGTTATGGTTATGAGGAGGGGTAAAACAAAACTAGCTGTTTCCCTACTCAGATACAAGAACAAGTAACCAAACTTTCTTAAATCTTGCAAACGACAATGTCCCAGACCATCTACATGATTTTTGCCACACAACCGGATCTTTCAGAAAGTCTGCTCCTAGACCAACATTATTCGGCACAATCCAAATTCCACAAGCCCTCTTGACGACCGGACAATCTCCGAAATTGATCTCCTCAAAGGCATTTTGAAACTTGAATGCCTTCAGTTTGCCAATTCATTAATGTGATTTGCGCAAAAATCAAATAACCATTTAACGAACAACTGTAAACCGAACTGGCCAAAAATACACCAAAACACATTTAAGCTCACCAACATACAGAATGAGCGGAATTAAAGTTACAATGAAAATAAAATAGAAACAACATTATGCATTCGCTCGAACACCATCCAAAGGCTTGTTCATATAACCGAGACGTTTGGTCATTTCTTCCCAGTCAATCTAAAGCTCAATAGTGAAGTACAATAAAAAAACCTTCTCACCGGTTGTCTTTTGTCACGTCCATCTCCGCCATCTTTTCCTAGCCAGCGGGAATTTCCAGATCGCGATATGTTTTCAGCAATTCACTGCCTTAAATAAAAACATTTAAAAATATTGTACTTTACCTCGCTTTGCCCACCTTCGTCCGATTGATAAACAGGCTCAGGAATTGAGACAGGCATATTGCAGATCTAAACAAAAATATTTGATTTTCATAAAAGCTTAATGCCTGGTGTTGGGGGTGCGAGGTTTCAGAATCAAGGGTTGGAGTATCTTGCGTAATTGATGGATCCTGAGCTGTAGAGAAGAACATATTGAGTCGCCTTTGCTGTCCGGAAACACAACATAATGTAAGTGATAACGCTCTGGAAACTAAACTAACTCCGAATTGCGTGGTGCGACTGAATAAAAGCTCAGTCAGATCCGTTCTGACGATTTCTTGATCAACCACAGTAAGGGCCTCGGGATTTCCAATTGTTCCATTACTCCCCGAGTTGAAAAAGCGTTTGTTATGACGCTAAAAGTATCTTTGAAACTGTTATGACCAAAAAGTTTCCCCTCACCTTCGTGACTACTACCAGCAGAAAATTTGGCTTCTTGTATCCAACTTCGTATTCATCACAAGCTTCTTGAATGGCACCCAATTTTGACTCAAAACTCAAACAAAAATATAATTGATAGCAAAATAAAAGTCGCTAACCATTCATATTGTCCTTAGAGACTCCATCACGGAAAATAAAGAAATTTTCCGGCAACGGAGGTCCTTGCCGCTTTTTTGCCACCAAATCAGCATCCATTTCGTCCTTAGTGCTTAGGGAGGCGATCATCAACCTGTTCCTGGAGAGGCTCTTGAAATGCAAAATCACCGACAAACGCATCGCGATTCTCACAGCCAAAAAGTGCAAACTAAAGGAATCTTTAAGGCAAACTTTCTTCATTTACTTACCCCAACCACCGATGGATTCAACAGCAAAGCCAAGAGCACGTTCGCCGATCGCCCGGCCGGTTGGATGGGCAGGACGTCATAACCCAAAATAAGCGTTGATCCAAACCAGTGATCTCTGAAAACAGACTGTAAGAGAGACAAACAATATAACTCACGCGAAAGACTCCGGCACAATCGCATAATTTAATCCAAAATGCCTTCAAATCTGAACTTGCTGAGAATGATTCTCCATAGTCGCATTATCCATCGGCTTAATTGAGTTGTCGTATTGCTTTTTGCCGAGGATAGTATCCGTTGCCAGATGTTGCGTCACCTAAAATTAGACGTTGTGGTGCTATAATTTTCGACATTACAATTTGATGTTTCGCTTCCAAGAATTTCAGGAGCCCATGAGACCTCGTTTCTGGAATTCGGCCAGCAGGATCAACGAACTTGTCTAAAAGATTTTTGTTTAAAGGAACAAGCAACAAACTTGAAATGTAGATGATCATGATCGTAGCTTTTGCACCGAGGATTTTGCGCTGATTCTTTGCCTGAATAATAGATACGATTAAGCCTAATCTACTTTCAATAAGACGACCTTGGCAAATAGATTTCCAGTTCGAACTTCATCGTCAAGATTTGTTGGCGCATTTTCGACTTCAAGTGAGCGAATTGTTATTCCTTTTGTGGTCCGCTTCGATCTTGAAGCGCTCGACAAATGCTTGAATTTGTGGTAGAACTCGTGGGTTTTCATTCCATGCAATGTAACTAAAATGCAAAGATACACTTGTGCAAATGCAGAGCGAAAAACGGTTTTTAATTGTAACTTAACATACAGCTTGTCCACAACAGCGCCCTCGGTGTAAGTTTCTTCTCCCTGTTTCAGCTTAGCTTTCTTTAAATCTGCAGGCACGGATCTCGATTCGCCATATTTGAACTTTCGGAGCAGGCCGACGGAAGCCAGTAACCTGCAAAGGCTTCCGAATCAACAGAGATGCCAAATCTTAAAAGGTAACTTTAGACGACCTAAATATTTGATAGAACCTACCCAGCCATAATTGGAGAGTTCCTTGAAAGATCAAGCTCGTCGAGATGGTTTTTGATCAGATTCCAACGATCATCGGGTTTTCTGGCCTTCTCTGGATTGCAGAGGAACTTCGTCAATGGAACACGCTGATTTGGTGCGACTCGTAGGACTTCGATCGGGAAGAATGAATCCTTGCCTCTTCCTTTCCGCGTTGAACCACCACAGGCCACTTGGGAAATCTAAAGACAAACATTTTTCAAGCATCACTAAAGCTTACTGAATGCGAATTCCTTGTTTTTTCATATTTTTCCATCGATGGAATTAGACGTCTGCTGTGCGGTGACATTGCCTCCTCACAATCAAAAAGCGTCCTGAAGCTCAGTCGACCACAATCGTCACGATAATCAAGTCCGGCACAAATAAAGCTGTTCTTTGAATTGGCGACCTCCAAACGTAGACCTAGGATTACATGATCTAAATAAATAGCGGTAAATATTTACCGCGCAAATAAGTGTTTGTCCTTTTGATTGCAGCCGGATCCCATTGAACTTGATGAACACCTTCCCATCTGTTCAGTTGAGCACTGAAAATCGATATTACTGATCAAGTAAATGTCACTTACATTGTTTCAACAAGTCCGTTCGCCTTGTAAAAAGTTCCAATCTTCGCATCCAATACAAGGGCCGCCACTAATCGAGCATCTGGCGTGGTTTCCTTGTACTCGGCGCCTTCAATGAAGCGGATTCCCTGAAAAGTTTCGTATAGGTAAATTTTGAAAAGCAACCTTAGTTAGACCCTGGCGACGTTCTTGTCCATTTCCAATATTATAGCAAGTATCCCTATTGTCGATCTTCAAAAAGCCTTGCCTGCCCCATAGAAGACATAACTTCCCCCTAAAAAGCGAGTTAAATAAAAAATTAGGTTACTGACTTTTGAGGGCTCCTTCGTTGGTAAGCAATTCATAAAATTGTCGAAGAGGACGGTCACTTTCTCCGTTGGCAATCTTCGCTTCCGCATCTCCAATAGTGAAGTGATGAGCTGAATCACTAAAATATCGTTTTTGTTTATTAAAAATAAATAATTTACGTGCAAGGGCGAATCGTGATTCGAATTTCCCTTTGCTTCTCCTGAAACAAGGATGGACCTGATGCTTGGATGAAGCTGTGCTACAGGCAGAGTGAGAGTGCCGTTATGCTAAATAACAAATCAGAATGTTAAGAAACCATAGACAAACCGGTTTCAGAGCCATAGCGAGATCTTCGTTTGAAAAAAGGATAGTAGTTCCATCGAAGACTGTAACACCAGTTTCGCTGAGAATACGATAAGCCTCCAAAGCCGCTTTGAGAGCGGCACGAACTGCTTCCGAACGACGAGTCATCAGCGTACTAAATCGGAAGGTTGAAATCAAAAATAAAAGCACTCCTTACTCATCCTTTGGTCCTCGATTCATTGAGATCACTCCTCCATTCCTGTTTCTTGTTTCAACGCCCGTCACCAAGTCAGCACTCACGTCGTAGCGGTAGACCTCACGATTTGGATCGGTACGAATTGGAAAGATGTTTGTTACAAGCTTCACCTAAACAACCAAGAGAATTGAATGATATAAACGTTAACTCTCACCACTTCCATTCCAGTTCGGTTAGCTGGCTCAATCCGTGGATGAATCTTCTCTGCGTACACAATTGGAGCAAATGGGTCGGCAGCTTCGCCTTGCGAGAGCAAATCGAGTTGAGAATTGCTTGACTTGAACTCAGATTCCGAGACAACACTGAGCACCTCCTCTTCAGTTGTAGAATAAGTCGTTGTTCCGTCGGATGTGCTCGAAACTAAAATAAGAAAATCGTATCTGAAAATCACTACGCTTTTTTAACGCTGATTGCTTAGGTGACTACAATACAATAATCTTAACTACGCAGCTGCTAGCTAAGGAACCAATCTTATTGGATGATCTAATTTCATTCCTCTTTAAACCTAAGCATAAACCTATAGATTATTATGACAAGTCAAACTGAGCAAGACTTAATGCCTAATACTATTCAAAGATCTAAATCTCTAAAAGTTCATCTAAACCATACCACTGAGACATTCCATACGTTCGGCTAAATCCGAATCCGTTGAGAGTGACTTCGCTCGCTGCAGGTTGGCGATGCTGGCTCTCTCGGATCCGCTGTCATCTTGGTTTCGTTGATGAGCATCATCGTATCGTCCACGGCTTCCTCCCCAACCACCTCGATCTCCTCCCCAGCCTCCTCTTCCTCCGCGAATTCCACGTCCGCCACCTCGTCCACCACCCCACCGACCGCCGCCTCGTCCAAATTCGCGATAGTCTCGTCCACCATCTGGAAAGTCGCCTTCTCGGAAGTTGCCTCGTCCGCCGCCTCGTCCACGTCCTCCTTCTCGACCGCCTCTGTCGACTTGGTCCCGGTCGTTTTCGTTTGGTTGTTTGGTACGCTTCCAAGTGTACATCACTAAAAAATACAAGTCAATAAATGGTTTGTTAAAGAGATAGACAATCAAGGGCCAATAGTCCAGATATTACACAAAACGTGCGGGTGCTATAGTAGTTGGAGGGAACAGTTTGTAAACACCGGTTTTTCGAACTTGCCACTGGTTTTAAAAGCTTTTTCTGGGTTAATGAATTGCACTGAATGCATTAAAAGCCTTTCTAAACCATTCTGAACAACTTTTATGCCAGTTTGAGCAACAATTCTGAGTCTTCAAGAGGCTCTATTTTCACTGGGTTTAGAGGTGCGAAACCAAATTAAGAGGCTAAAAACCTCAGTAACTGCTTTAAATAGCTAGAAAACAGTCACTAAAGCTTAAATAAATAAACACCAAATTAAGAATCTACGCCATTAAAAGCCCTAGAAGCAAACATTAGTGCGCTTTGGCTCGATAGAGATGAATGTACACTGGCCCCCCAACTGGCAACTACTATAGCACCCATGTGCTAAATAAAATATAAAGATGTAGCTAAAAAACACTAACACTACACCCAACCCCCTAAGATAACAAGAACGAAAAATGAAAAAGCTTTTGAATCGTTCGGAAAAAGACGACCGTGCAAATAAATTTAAATTGTTCAATTGAATATCTTTTTCTTTGTGAGTGCACGAATTTGCCACTATATAAACCACTATAAAAGACTTCTGCTTTTTTCTCCTTGTACTTTTGTATACTTTTTGAATTCTGCGCGAGGTTTCTCTTAAACTTTTATTCGCTTTTCTTAAATTTTCGAAACAAAACAACAGCAAGAGAGAGAAAAGACCCGATGTAGACAATGTGGGCGCAAAAAAAAAGATGTCATTTGTGTGACTGAAAACAACGAAAATATATGTTAAAAAGGAGCGATTTTTTTTAACTTAAAATTGGGTTTTGAAATTGTTTTATGGTATTTATGCAGCAGCTCTGTAAGTAGAAACGCACGAAGCTAGTCAGAAATATTTTTGGTCAACTCATGTCGTTCTAGCTACGATCATACGTATCTAAGCACAAAGAGCCGGAGATTCAAAGTGTTGAGGTTTTATAAGGGTTTGATTCAAGGAAACAAAACATCTAATAGATAAAGTCCTCTCGTGTCTGCACTTCTAATTTTCGTCTTGGGTCTAAAAAGGGTAATTCCCCGTCGCTGGCCATCGATGAGCGAAGTGTTGACGCATCAACTCCTCGAGATGGCGGGGATATCCAGGGACGTGGGATTGTGCCATAAGCCTGAAAGATATTTTTATGTCGCCGTAAAGTTATCTTGGTAAGTTTGAGCATTTTTCGAGCGTAAAGGTGCTCATGGTGTTCATTGGCTCACTGTATTTGCTCGAGCTTTTAGCCCGAGCCCGAGATTCAATCCAGTTATCAACTCACCTCATTGATCGGCGGTAAATAAGCATCTCTATGATGTGGATGTGGTAGGGTGCTTGATGAATAGATTGATCCATCCGGTGGCAGAACATACGTCGCCGATTCTCCGGCCACAGACTAAAACCATTTTCTATTAAAACGAATCAAATATGTTGTATCCGATTTGGATTCAATCCAAATCAGATACAACATAGACTTTTCTATCAAAGCTTTGTTCACTTAGGCATTCTATCGTTAATTTTTTCATTTTCACATCAATCGGTTAATTTTCCCGAGAAAACTCCCAGCACACAATATACCGATTCTCTTCTTTGAGCCTCCGGGCTATTCTTTGCCAAAGTAGCGACAGGCTTAAATTGGACAGTTAGATAGTAAGCGGGGTAAAGACTACTTTAACATCGGTTGTCAAACTGTGACTATCGATCCGATTTGGTGATGTAGTGGAGAGCGGCTTAATGAATATTGTACAATTTTTTCGTATTCAGTTCTACTTTCGTAGCATATTCTCCTCGATCGATTCGTCGGAGTGCTTTCGTTGACGGTGGATCGGATGGACTGATTGGAGATGGTTGACTTTGCGGAGATTCGAGAACTCGTGTTGACTACAAACCGCATAAATTACTCTAATTGATCTATCCAACTTTTTCTATCCATCAATTTTTCTAGAATTTTATCTTCTCTAACAGTTCTCTACCCTTTTCTCAGCGATTTCTCCTCTATCACGTCGGCGCTGGGTTCTCGGTGATGGGGGATCGGAAAGGTTTTGCTAAATTTAAGTCTGAATATTTTTAATGGTAAAATACAAAGAATAAAAATTGATACCTTATTGAAACCCGATGGCACGACACGAGTTGTGCGAACAGTTGATGCTGGGGTGATTGGTCTTGAGGCACCTAGAAAGAGACTGATTGACATCAAGATGAGCAATTTCAATTAGCAATTTCAATTGACGGAGTATCTTCTCATAGTCAATCTATCTACTATATAAAAGGAAAGTGTCTGTCCGTCCGCCTGTCTGTCTGTCTTTACAGTACGTCCGTTTGTCTGTCTGTTCTCGGGTCCCTGGGCCGATTTACATGATTTTTAGTTTATTAGGCTTAGAAGCCTATATAGTTGTGCATCTCATATTTCATTTTTTTAAAAATAAAAGTCACGACACAGAGTCAAACCCGGGTCATGTGAGCCGTAGACAACCCCCTCCTGACTGTGCCAAAGTTGAAAAGGTGAAAATAACAAAACTTTACATCCGGAAATTAGCAATAGAGTCATTTTGACATTTGCTTTTTGTTTAGTTTTTGTTTTTCGACGGAAATCTACTATATAACACTATCTGTCTGTCCTTTTGTCTGTATAGGCTTTTTCTCAGCCATCTTTGGGCCAAAAACCCGAAATCTTTTTAAAAGACTTAAAATATAATCTAGTTATGCCATTTAAAATAAAAAAAATTAAAAGTGAGATCTGAGTAGCACTACGAGGGTCGAACCCGGATCGTGTAGGCCGTAGAAAAGCGCGCTCCCGACTGCGCCACGGCAACAGAAACCAGCCGGAAAAACCCACAGCCGAAAAACATCCGGCTGGTTTCTGGCTAGCAGAAAGTTGTCACCGTGGGGCAGTCAGGAGCGTCTACAATCCACTACAAGTCTACAATCTACAATCATGTTTGTCTACAATCCACACGATCCGGTTTCGACCTTCCGTAGTGCCACTCAATTTTAATTTTTATCCTACCAGGTGGTGGTGGGTACGGTAGTGGAGATCCCGAATAAGGAGTACTGTAGATTGTATCATTTGCATGCATCGGGAAGCGCTCGTTTGGACTAAAACTTGTGTTTCTATATCCTATTTATTTTATGCTGCTAAAGTTTTCTTGGAACTCACGCAGCGACATAAAGCGGTTCAATCGTTTTGTAGGTGGGAATTGTGTTCACTTGATAGACCTCCTGAAATTGTACAATGTACAATGTACAATGTACAATTGTACAAATTGTACAATCTAATCTAAATACAATACCTTTTTATTTTTATAGCAGCAACAGCAAAATCTCGATAGGAAAAGTGCAATCAAAATGGCGAGTATCAACAAGAAAATCAACAACGCCGCAATTAGACCGATGATTGGCTGAAATTTGACGGGAATTCTGGCTATTCTGGCTATTCTGGCTATTCTTTTTGGCTCTGTGTATGGCTATTGGCATTTTTAGCTGATCTAGCCTCTATTCATATCTTTATCTTTTCCACAAACCATCCACGAATCCGCTCTTGTCACACTCGGCTCAGCCACATCTTTGTAGTTCTGCAAGAGATACTGCAACGCCACAGCTTCTCCACCATCCGTACCTAGAGACATAGGTTGAAAGTTGAAATTCGTGTTGAATTTGAAAAGATTCAGTTATCAGATTCAGATTCAGATATTCAGATTCAGAAATCCAATTATAGATCTCCCAGATCTCCCTCACTTTTACTCGCCAACTCGTGAATTTTCCTCGTATCCCCATCAGTCAATACCAAAAATGAGTCACCGCCTCGATAAGTGGCAATCTGAAATTCCTATTTATTTGAAACTAAACTTTTCATTCTTTTCTTTCAATTCTTTTCTTTCAATTCCATTCTTTCCATTCCATTCTTTCGAATCAATCTCTTTTATTTTCAAATAAGATTCAATCATTCGTTGATCGAATTTATTTCCTGACAGACACTCTTGAAATGATCATAAAATTGGCGCCCATCGGCTTTCATTTAAGACAAAGAAATGACATTTAAGACAAAGAAATGGAGAGATCAATGGAATTTAAAAGAATTTAAAATTCTGGAATTCTAGAATTTAAAAGACAAAAGTTTCTGGTGTTTGTTTCTACAAGCTAATTCCTGTCTGATACATAGAAATCAGTTTAGTTTTACGCGGAAAGTCAAGTCAGGCAAAGTACTGGCAGCTTTGTGGGTTTCGAAAAAACGACTGATCCAAAAAGAAGTGGTAACACAAAAAAGTTTTGTATTTGGATGTAGAGGTTCGACCAAAAGTTCCCTTCATTTCCGCCGATTTTAACAAAAGCGAACAAACAGAAAGACGGATGGACAGACAGACGGACAGAGATTTTATTTTTATATATAACGATTAACGGTTAAAGATGGTCAATGTTTTGACCCATTTGAAACCTACATTTTTCCTCCTTTACTAATGATTTATGAGCATTTGTGTAACTGCTTTGCCCTTGAATCTGAGGGGAAATGGTGGAGGGAATGGTGAATGGAGGGTGGAGAAGGATTCTAATTGCTCTCATCAGTCAGTCGCTTTTTATGTCCTGGCACTGTCTGGGGTCCATTCGACCATTTAGAAATCCGAATTTCGAAAGTAATCCCAAACAAATGGAGAGATTTTGTGACTCAACCTAACCCTGTTGAGTGAAGACAATCAAGGTCAGTTTCATTTACAAAAGTTTAACACTAGAAACCTCACTGTATGGGCAACAGTTCTTACTTAAAGCTCAACTTATCTTGCATCTAGGCATCTTGGCATCTTGACAACTTTTTTATTTGATTACTGTTTCAGCTGTTACTGTTTACATCAAGTTTTTACCCTAAAACCCTCGAAACATCCCACTTTAATCCCTTGGTACTTTTATTGGATTGAAGTGGGGTTGTGGTTGAGTATTTGAGAGATCAAGTCAAGGATATTTCTGTTCCCTAAAAAAAGAGATTCCAAGATTCCAAGATATCGAAAAAAAGGAGCAAAGTGAGCATAGCCTTGAAATCTCTCCTTTACCCCAACCATTCCCCTCTTCTCTGCCATTTTCACCCCTCCCGGTGTCCCTTTGCTTTCATAGCCGTTTGAAAGGAATAAAAATTAAATTTTGTCCTTGCTCAACTCTTAAATGTCAACAACAACAACAACTGAGATTGAATTTGAAAGAATATCTTGATTTTGACTTTGAAAGACTTGTTTTAAAGGTTAACAAAATACACTCCAAATATTTGATAGCTTCAACAATCTTTCAACGATTTCAAATACAGACTAGCAGAATACATATTGATTTAATCAACAAACTCTAACCAATACTCTAGTTACATGTTAGAGTTGTGCTTATAAAGTTGACTAGGTAATAGATCCAAATTCGGTTCAATTTCCCAACAATTCCCAAATCGTTATCCCTTTCCGTATACAAAATGACAAGAGCAATGACGGGATGAGATGACAAGGGAACGTAAATGTTATGGGAAAAGATTTTTCGCCTTTCACCTCGATTTCTCCGTATATTGAAGGCCGAACACCATGAATTCGCCTCCTTTTGCTTTCTAAGACTAATGCCATTTCCGGGAATGGTTGTCAAGGGGAAAAAGGACTATGAGAAAAAGTGCGGACAGTTTGAAATGATCCATGGATATGAGGGTGAGAATGGGAAGATTTTGGAAAGATCTTGGCTAACAGGAAAGAATAGAATGAATAGAATTGAATAGATTGATCTAATAGATAAGAATAGAATAGATTGATGAATCATGTAGTATTGGCTAATAGTGGCACTTTAATAAAGGCCAAAGCCAAGTTCTTTTTCTTTTCATTTTTTCTCAGCCCCTAGATTTTTCCTAACTACACTTTTGGTATCAAAAAATTCTAGATTTCAACGGCTATGATTTGACACTCAAAAGCACACTGTAGCCTAAAGCAGTGCGGAGAACTAAACGTTCAAAGTTAGACTACACGACTGTACGCCCGTCATTATCGGGGGGGGGGCGTTCTATTAGAGTGTTTATGGTATTAGTTCATTTCTCTATGCTTCTTTCTTTTATTCTTTCTTTTCAATTGAATAACTTTCATTTTAGATTAACTTTTGGTCGAAAAAATAGCTGTGATTTATAAACTGCTATTATTTTATTATAAATAAGATTTACCTACTTTTCGGAAAGGCTTTCTTGCCAACCAAATAGAACTACGATAGCGTAATAGAGCTACGATTTGAAGCGCAGGCTTTAGAAAGCTTTAGAAAAAGAAAGCGCATTCTTCCGCACACTCTACTTTTAATCCATCCAACTAACAGCTGAATCTTCATTTCCGCACCTGTTGTGTGTCTTTGAGATATATAAGCAACAATCCATGATCACATCCATCAGTGCTCATCCCAGCTTGTTCATAGATTTTCTTCGAGTCTTGTGCGAGACTCTTTGACTAAAAATTTACTTACTATATTTTCTCTAATAGTAGTGCACCCTCTAATAGTTCTGATAAGCCGCGTTGGTGACTATTTTACGGTTTCTAAGCTTTTGCAGAAGCTCAACACTCAAATAGATCACTAGATCTGATCGTCAGCTACATTTTCCGACCCCACATTGATAGGTTCTGATAAGCGGTTCTCGAGATTTCGAGGAATTTAGGCGACGCTCACTACTATTAGAGAAAATACGGTATATTTTCTAGTTCATAGGATCAGTTTTGACATAAAATTTGTTTCTTTCAATAAGCTTACATTTTTGAGTCGGTTATCATGAGCAGACCGAAATATCCTCCCCGACCATCCTCTCGTTTACATCCAGTCTCACATTTACATCTAGATAATTAATCCGGATCTTATAGGATAACAGGGGGAGGGGGGAGCACAGCTTGGCCACAACTTTGGCCAACTTGAAGCTCATTTTCAGACACCTTAAAATTATCAGATCAGAAAGTTTTAATAATATTTAGATAGCTTGGAAGGTCAGCTTTCAGAAAATATAAATTTCATTGAAAGTTATAAACAAAAAAACAGAACTAAATTACTAAAATATAACTCCAAAAAAGTGCCCTCACCCGTTATCCTGTAAGATCTTCAATAAATTCAATTAATCCTTCAATATTAGATAGTTAATCCTTCAATAGTCAAAAAAAGCAGATCATAAAAAGTATTATAAACATTATTATTATAAACATAAAGCATATTTTAAAGATTTTTATATTTGTAGAAACTCACGGAACACTATCTCGAAGATCGTTGAGTAAAAAGTTCAGTTTAGCCGTCGTTCGTTCGGATAATCGCTAAAGAAAAGAGTTGGAATGACAAAAAAATCAGAATCAAATAAAAAACATGGTTGATTCTTTAAAAAATCCTTCAAAAACTCAAAATTCCTTACATTATCAAGATCACAAACGAGAGTCTCATTTCCAAAACCCTCTTTTTTACATCGATCGTACTCTTCGCTGATTTCGATTGCAGTGATCTGAAATGAAGAAATAAATTCGCCATAATAATAATAGCCAAATATTCTTCTACCAGCCAAATATTCTTCTAGAAAACGCTCGCTAACGATCGCGTTTTCCAAGAAATCTAAGCCCCGCTCCTTTTTGTCAATGGCTGCGCACAGGACGGACGGACAGACGTCCGGCGGCCCCGCGGGCCCACCCCCCCCCGCGGCCCGGAGGGACAGGCGTCTTTTCTGTTTATATATAGTAGATAGATGTTTTGGGTACTTTGGTGGTTGGGAGGGGCCACTTTTGGCTTGCTTTGTGTTCGAATCTAGTGTTTTGAGCGTGTCGATACTTGTTTTCTTTTCCTGAGCTATATATGCTGACAGGCGGACGGACAGAAGTCTCTTCTGCTTTATATATAATAGATTTTTAGATTCAAAATATTAAATATACTTCTATTTCTTCTATTTCTTCTTTCTCTCCCTCTCTCTCTCTTTCTTTCTTTCTCTCTTTCTTAGATTTTTCTCTGATTTTCCCTCTTTTATTCTCTCCAAAAAGACAATAAAAAAAGAAGAATGAAAATAAAATGAATTGAGAAAAATGACCGTCTCAATGTCATCAAGAAGTTAAAGGGTTTTCAAAAACAAGCATTCATTTTCCATTTTAGCATTCATTTTTAGTATTTTGAGTCTCAACTTTTGAAAGGTCATCAGATAAGAAAAAGGGAAACTTTTTGCCTTTTGTTGCAATCTTTGTGCGGAGTCTAAACAAGAAAAAGCAGATGGAAATCAATTAAATACAAGGTGAAACATTAGATTCGAGTTTAATTTCCTTGTTTAGCTGTTTTTTTGTTTGTTTAGCTGTTTGTTTAGCCGTGAAAAAGATCCTGATTCAAGTTTGGCATTCACCGAATTCGCAGTGAAATATTAATAAGCTTTTAAAAAGATCCTGATTAGCCTACCGTAAATACTGTAATAGTACCGCACCCCCATAATGACGGTGCGGAGTGTTGCATAGTCTAGCTTTGAACGAGTGTTTCTCGACACCGGTTTATGCTACAATATCAAAAAAAGGTATCAAAAATAGCCCTGAATTTCAGCTATTTTTTGATACCAAAGACGCATTTTTTGAAAGTACGGACGCTTTGAAAAAAATGAAATACTAAAAATCTTTTGCGACTACGCGACTGTACGACGCGACTGTACGACTGTACTATTACAGTATTTACGGTAAGCTTTTAAAAACATCCTGATTAGCCTAGGTTCATCGTTTTCTCGTTACAATCTCATAAAAATCGATCATCGATCTCAAATTTCTCAATTGCATTCAAAAATGAGAATTTGTCTTCTCTTTTGTTTCGTCTTCTTCAACGCTGACATTGTTTAGACTTTGTGGTAGAAGAGAGAATGAAAGAGAATAAAAAAGAGATGGGAAGTGTGAAAGTTGTCTCTCTCAAATCTCAAATATATCGAGAGGGTCGACCGGTTGCCCTTTTTTTTCCCCCCTTTCAATCTCATTTTCACTTTCGAGTCATTTGTGTATCTCTCTCTTTTTCATATTCTTTTCCATTCAAGTATCCCCTTTCACTCTCTAGACTTATTATGCCAAATGTAATTCAGAGTCATGTCAGTTCGATAGGAAACAAATTGACATCCTATTTAAAACAAAACAAACTGACATCCTAGTTGAAACCAAACAAACTAAGATCCTAAAAACAGACCAAACAAAAGTCAAATATCAAAGCCAATTATCAAACTCAAAAGCCCACAGTCAGATATTACAGATAAGCAGATATTTGTAAATCAAATTTCCGAAGCTCCAATCGAATGTTCTTTCTCACTGTCCTGTTTAAGGCAAAAAAAACGCCTCTCGACCCTAATCGAATCTAATTTTCAAGAGACAGGGAAACTTTCAAAATACGATCAAATACTTTGCACATTTAATGTTCCTCAAGATCACGTAACAATCAGAAGTGTCTAATCCAAAGAAGACAAAGAAAAAGAGACAAAGAGACAAAGAGAGAAGTGATCATTCCCCTATTTACACCCGATCTCGAAGCTTCTCTTGAGAATTCCCCTCATTTTTCCTCTTTTTCTTTTTCTCATTTGAAATCAAGTACCCCGTCAGTGATTCCGGTTTTACCAGTCTTCAGAAAAACGTTTAACTAAGAGAGATTTATTTGTGGATTAGCAGGACTAGGGTTTGGGCTAGTGAAAGGAGGTATCAAATAAAAACTGTGAAAGAAGATATCAAAGAGATATCAAAGAGATAAAAACATCAATAACATAGTAAAGGATAAAGCTTAGATATGTAAGATATAAAAAGGCTAAATAAGGCTAAAGAAAGGCTCCAAAAAAGACTAAAAAGCTAGATCTCTTTCTGTAACTTCAACAAATAATTTACAAAAGCTGAAACCAAAGCTGAAACTGGAAAAAAACTTTCCAGCATCAATATCAGTAGATAGATACGTATTGAAAAGGTTAACCTTTGTTGCCACATTTCTGAAAGCTTCAGTCAAAAAAAGCTGCATAAAATTTAACTCTATTATTATTGCAAATACGTACGGAAACATTTTTTTATAGAAGAAAAAAGTTTGACGAGGGTGGGCCTCGAAATTAAAGTAAGGAATAGCAGTCTAGCAGTGACAGTCTAGCAGACTATCCACTAGACCACCGAAGCAGTTGTTGGCGAGCGTGTGGCGGCCTCATGGAGTCTCGAGTCAAGAGTTTGACTTAATCAATAGCTTGATTTGATCAAAAGCTTGCTTGCTCAAAATAGGGGGTAATTCAAGGTGATTCAAGCTGATTTTCTATGCTAAATATCTCGCGTTCTGAAAGTGTTCTGCAAAAACTAAAAACGGATTCGAGATCCCTACGGTCGACTCTAGAAGTTGGAGTCTCGAGTCAATAGTTTGACTTGATCAATAGCTTGATTTAATCAAGAGCTTGACTTGATCAATAGCTTGATTTAATCAAGAGCTTGACTTGATCAATAGCTTGATTTAATCAAGAGCTTGACTTGATCAATAGCTTGATTTAATCAAGAGCTTGACTTGATCAATAGCTTGATTTAATCAAGAGCTTGACTTGATCAATAGCTTGATTTAATCAAGAGCTTGACTTGATCAATAGCTTGATTTAATCAAGAGCTTGACTTGATCAATAGCTTGATTTAATCAATAGCTTAATTTAATCAATAGCTTGATTTGATCAATAGCTTGATTTGATCAATAGCTCAAAAGTTTGATCGATGCCTTTCCCTTGTAAGCAAATCAACTATAGCACAAGTATACCAACAGATCACTGAAAACTTTTCATGGGAAATCTTGAATGGATGTTGATTCTTGATTTGATTTGTATCTTGATTCCCTTGTATAAACAATAAAACAAAAGACTCAAATAAACATAAACATAAATCAAACCTGTACAAGTACAATCACAGAGAAGAAAAGAAGCCGCATCGCTGGGGAGCGCCAAAAAAAATTCAAAAAAGAAATCGTTGTCAATAAAAATAAATGATCGAGATTGTTTCGTTGTTTTGAAAACTTTTTTAGATATTTCTTGCTTAAAAAAAGAAATTGGATAGATTTTTGAGAGAAATTTGATGGAGGAGAAGAGAGGAGAACAGAGGAGAAGAGAAGAGAACAGAACAGAGCAGGGGAATGGGCGGAGTTTGGGGAGAGGATTTCCCGAAACTCCACCCATCAAAAGAGATGAGATTTTCGCGCTCAAAAAAAACCTAACAATTTCAAATCGAAATTTTGTTTGTGTTTTTCTCTTTCACGATCTATTCCTCTCTCACACAAACTCTTTTGGCACATTCTAGTGCAGAGAATTGGCTTAAGAGTTGCACTGACAGTGTGAGAACACCGTTTTTGAGTCGATAAAGAGATTTTTTTCGTGTAAAAACTTGTAGTGATTTGATTTTTTATAGCAAAACATAAAGAAAATTGAGATCAGAGATTTGTGAGGATTGTTTGATGACTCTGAAGACCTGTAGAAGAGATTTTTCAAGAAATGACTAGAAATATGACTGGAGAATGACTAGAAAATGAATATTCTTTCACTAGAATGTTTTGAGATCAAAAAAAAAGACTGATTAGCTTGAGATTGAGATAGATTTGTGATTAGAGAATATCTTTTTACAAGATCGAGCACTTGAGTGGCACACGAGAGCGACAACAATTGAAGACTTTCCACAACTTCGAGACACTCTGAAAATGAATTCAGGATAAATTGATCAAAAATAGAAAATGGATCTCTAGCATATACCGTAAAAACTCTAATAGAACGGCCCCTATAGGACCGTCTCGTAGTCTAAGTTTGCTCTCAAACAAATGCTCATATCTCGATTCCAGTAAGTTTATTTCTGCGCGCTTGGGTATCAAATTAAAGCAGAGAAAATGGGTGATTTTTTGAGATATAACACATATTATTAGCATTAACCAGCGCTTAGAACAAAATGATTGAAAAATGATGAAAAATCGGCTTTTTACCACTTTTTTTCCAGACGTTTCCGCGCCAAACGTCTGAAACTACCGTAACCCGGCCCCATAAAAGGACCCCTCGACGGCGAATTTTTCAGTCTTGCCGTGTGCGAATAGAGTTTTTACGGTATGATTTTGTGCAGTTTTACAGATGAGAATGTAAATAAATGTAAGTAAATGCCCCAATGAGTCTCAGGCATGTAGACCCCGCCCCTTTTTGTCATTTGCCGTTGGCAATCTACGAATTTTGCTCGTATCTTCGCCGGGTTTGTTTGAAAAACGTTGAAATAGATCAGAAATTGTTTAGAATACGATATATTTTGAAAAAGTGCCCTAAACTTGTGATTATCCGTTTACCGATTTGTCTGAAAATTTGGTAGCGGAAACTAGACGATCCTAAAAGACAATCCCATTATTTTAATGACAGGATTTCTAGGATTTTTCTTAAAAATTAGTTTTTTAAAAGTTTTTCAAAGAAAACTCTTTACACTCAAGGGTTTTCGTTTAATTTTCGTTGTTTTTCCATTTAATTGATCGTCACAATTTTTATTTTTGGTTAAAATATTGCCTTAAGATCTAAAAAGGATAAAAAATAACAATTTCTAATTCGTTAAAAGCCAGGTTTTTGATTGTGAAATAGGGTTGTGCTTTTTCTCAGTACCGATATTAGCAATATCGGCATTGGCCTAATTGCGAATCTTTTTGGAGTCACTGAAAGTTGTTTTCAGCGATTTTTAGGAGCCATTTATAGCTTATTAATCTCGGTAGACACTTTAAAATACTTTAAAATGTTTTTGCAGCTTAACAAAAATGTGTTCACGGCGAGGGGAGTCGGACCAGGGATAAAGAGCGCGGAGGGCGAGGGCACTAACCCCTAGACCACCGGCCGCGGACAGCCCTTCACTGTTTGAAGGCAATTAATTCTCGTAAGATCTCTGGCATCAAAGTTTAGGGCGATTTTTGAAGCTGCTATTAGTCTTACTTTGCTCGCCGGTCTTAAATACAGGAGTAGCGCAGTGGATAGTGATCGCGTTGGCAAGTTTTTTGTGCTCACTCGTTCACAAGGTTCGAATCCCCTCTATCCTTTTTTGTCCTAGAATTTTAATCGTCTAACTTTAATCGATTAATTGATCATAGGGAACACAGGGCAACTGTTGTTTGACTTACATGTGGTGTGGCTCCAAGTGGTGGTAAAAGATCCAATTCATCGGATGCCGAATCCCCTTCAACGTCGAATTCGTCAGTCAATCGGGAGAACTCTTTCTCTCGTACAGAATCTGTAATTGAGGACTTTTGTTGTTGTTGTTGTTGTTATTGTTGTTGTTGTTGTTGTTTTCTTTTATTTCCCCTACTTTGTGTCGCATTTTTCGTCTGTCTTTTCCTTTCTTCCTCATTTTTTTGTGGTGAGATTGTTGTGATTTTCTCTTCTTCTTCATCTTCTTCATCACTATCCAATCGGCATTCAACCAAACGGCTTTTCTCTGTGCTTTCATTTGGCTAAAGAAATCGTTTAGATAACTAGATTCGAAGAAATACGGTAGATACAGTAGATATTTGAAAAACGATCGTCACTTTCGCGCGTCTGTAACTCCCTTGTCTTTGAGTTTAAACTATTAGTGTTATACATTTTCTGAAAGCTCTTTTCAAGGGCTACACAATGGTAATATTAATATTTAGAAATACGGTAAAGACAAGGGAGTTACAGACGCGCGAAAGTGACGATCGATTTTCAAATATGATATTTCATTGTCCAGTAGTGTAGTTTAGTTAACTAGAGAATTAGATAAATAACTGATGAATATTATTAAATATCAATCTACCTGTTGATTTCCCATTGATCTCCCCTCATTTTCCTCGTGATCATCAATAGAAAACACAGTGCTTTCCTCGGCTAACACCCGACCAATTCCTAAATAGATCTTTTCAATTTCTGTGGGTTTAAATGAGACGGAGACCCAACGACTTCAAAACTCACTGAGACAGAAAAAGTGAGCAGAATACTTTCTTAGCATATTCATTAGTTGGGTACTTATGGGTTATACCCCGCAATACTAGCTACTCTTAAGACTCTTAAGTCTTAAGTCTCTTGTCCAGCTCTTAGCCATCCCCTGCTTTCAGGAAATGCCCACTGCTCACCACGCGGAGGTGGCTGGACATCGAACAGCGTCTATGGGAGAAGGAGCTTGGAAATGCCCTGGAGAGGTCATTTCATTTCCAGGTCATTTCCAGTTGGGATTCCTGCCCGGCTCCAGTTGTCCAGTTGTGGCCAGCTATCCATTTCACGGGCCCTGTTCCCGTGGTTTTGCGCTGAAAGAGCGGTGACACGGTAAGGAACAAAATGGTCAGCACCCCCATGCGTATTGAAGTTTTGCGTCAAATGAGCAACGACAAGGTACAGTTCAAAATGGACTGTACCTTGTCGTCAGCGATCTGTTCCGGTCCCCTTCAGATACGGCCCTGTGTTCCCCGGACAAATTGTCGACGAGAAACTCGACGATCATAATATTTTATCATAGTGCTGCATTCAAGTTATTCAATTGTGACTTTTGAGGTTGGAAAACGGAAAATGAACCGGAACAGATCGCTGACGAGAAATTAAAAGGGCCCTCTTATGGAAAAGCCCTGCGCCAGACGGCGAGCGATTACTTCATAAGAGATCAGCGTAAAAGCTGTTTATGCTAAGAAAGATAAAAGTCAGCTTGAAATTCGTAGAGCATGGCGTACAAGTAATGCTTTTGCGCTACTTATGCTTGATAATTTCAATGGGGAAGTGAGTCCTGCAGCTGGAAAGGTCAGGGATTGAGGAAACGTTCAAGTCAAATTTGGGACAATTTATTTAAAGAAGAGGCGAAAAGACCCTCTTACGGGAAAGCCATGCGCCAGACGGTGAGCGATTACGCGGCCGCCCAAAGAACACAAGTTTCTTTACAAAGGAATTTCTTTTGTTCTGTAAACATTTCGCAGATGAGATATGAAGCCAAAAGTTTGCATCAAAGGGTTTTCCGGGTCGGGGAAGCGATTGGCGAGCTTTGTTTTATCGTATCTCCAAGGAAATTTGTTGTACTGACCCTGAGCTGACCTGAGCTGACCTAATTTGTATTTGTCTTGAGTTATTTTTTCCGTATTTTGGCTAGAAAGAATTGGCTAGAAAATCGTGGGAGTATAACCCATAGGAACCCAATTTCTTAGTGAAATATGCTTTGAAATATATCAAACGTTTAATCCTTTCGATGAACTCACCCGATGATCTTATTTGATATTTTGCATATCCATTCGATGTGGTCGCCGTTCCAGAATGCATTCAAGCCTAAAGAACGTTAATATAGTCACTGTAGATGTCCGAATCTTTACAATCTTTCTCAACTTATTCAATTTTGGATAAGATTAGGAGATAAACAACACTGAAAAGGTTTTGTAGATATAAATAGTCGAGTAGACTTCTCGATTGATCAAACTATTCATTTGAGAACAAATTTATTCAGAAAACAACACAAAAATCCTATTTTGGCATCACAAAATGTTTCTTCAGTGGTTGCCAATCTTTGTGATAATTCCAATCCACATTTTCCTTCAAAGCCCAATCAGTGATCACCATTGAGAGTGAAGATTCGAACATGAATGACTGTAATTTGGGGTATGAATAAAGAAATCGTTAATCGTTAATCGATAAAAGCTAGATATTTTGTATCTTTGTCTACTGTAGTAACCCTTAAGTACTTTGTCGGATTTGGACATAACCACCATTGCTCCATGACCTACCATTGTTCCATGTGCCACTTTTTGTGGTTTCAGCTCTCCTTTCGTGTTCGCTTCGAAACACGCAAAATCGGGCCCATGTGGAGTCATCATTGAATGAAGTGAGGCACCTAAATGAGATTTACATTCTTTCGAATCCGACCAGACGATCATTTCGGTTTCTGCTTAGGCTTAGGCTCAGGCTTAGGCTCAGGCTTAGGCTTAGGCTTAGGCTTAGGCTCAGGCTCCGACACCTTATGTTGTACGAATTTCTACAAGGAAACAAGGGCCTCTAGTGCTCCATTTTGAGAATGTTTAGGTGGAAGGATCAGCTCCACTACGGACATGTGCAAACTGGGTTGTTAAATTTCGTTCTGGGGATGAATCTTCAAAGACAAAAGGAGAGGACAACTTCGAAGACATCCAGCAACTTCGAAGACATCTAACAGTCCAGCTGGATAATGACAAGCTGGATAATTTTTAAACCAACAAAAGGATTTCTTTTCGCGAAATAGCAGAAGAGTTATCAACTAACCATAAAATAATACTCGAACATTGCATACACTTGGGTTTAAACCGTATTAGGGACTTGGATTCCACATGGTTTAACGGACACCCAGAAATGGCAACGTTTCTGGAAATCAGTGCCGCTCATCTTTCTGGATACAAGCGCAAATCTTTTTCACCCCATATTGTGACGGGGATGAAAATCGATTCTAATTGTCAACTTTTGGAGAAGGCGTCAATAGGTTGCTGAGGGGAAAAGATGACGTCAAGCCGAATCCGACGTCAAGCCGAATGCGCATGAGAAGAATTTTATGCTCTCTGAGATTTGGAAGAGCTTATCTACTAGAAACTTTTGAATAGCAAGACAACACTCAACTTAATCAAATACAAATCAAAACTTGACAAGTTAGCAAAATCTTTGCCAGAGAAAAGACTTCAAAGAGATGATAATGCTAGACCATTCTTCAAGATGATAATGCTAGACCGCATGTTTTGAAGATGACTCGTTCTACATTTAACTTGAATGTGGTCGGATTCGGATGTCAGGATCGGATTCGAACGTCCGGATCCGAAATAGTCTGGTCTGGTCAAATTCGGACGTAACATTTATTGGATTGGGGTAAATGAAATGGCGTCGAACTTTAAAGAAACTTTTTGCTCGCATAAAGCCTTCTTTAAATACAAGTTTTCTTTCATCAAAATGATCCACTATTTCTCGACAAAATGACTTTTGAGAGATTCCACAAAGCTTTTCTTTCGTAAAACTTATGGACTCCCAAACACAACTAGTCAAAATGGCAGAGTCTCTACAGATTTGGTTCCTTTTCTCTACAGATTTGGTTCGTTTCCTCTACAGATTTGGTTCCTTTTCTCTACAGATTTGATTCCTTGTCGACTCATCGTTCGAACAATTTCTTTCACATCGTGTGGAAGAAATCGTTCTTTGGTGTCTACATAAAAAAGATAGAGCACACTCAATTAAATAGCAATTCTCAGGGAATCCGTTTTCTCTAGATGATAGTTTATAGATTTTGCGAAAAAATGAGCTGAAGCTGAAGCTGAGCTTTTTTTTGAGCTGAAGCGCTATTTGAGTTCTTTTTAAATGTCATTTTGTAGAGAATTAGTTAACTTTTCTATTGATATTGTATCATTTGACGAAATCTGTTAGAATTCTTAGAAGTTCCTATGACTTTCAGCGCTATTTCATTCTCCTCAAATCCAATATTTCGATTCAAATCCATTCAAATTTCGATTGACTGACCACCCGGTTTGAATCCCCCCTCTTTCGCTTCATAATTCCCAACGATGAGTCCCATGAATTCGGACATGCAATTGCCTGAACACTTTTGCGATTATCGAATTCAATTTAAAGTACTCACGATGGTAGTATGGAGGTCTAAACGTGTTCTCAGCGACTCCCCATCTCGGTGGAAAGATGACAAAATCCGCGATAGCCACTCCTGGTCGTGTTGATTGAGCGGTTAAAACGGTGAAAATCGATGGATCCTGTAAATACGAGTAGTTGAAATAGTTGATTGCAACAATCGATGGATCCTGAGCCTGAGCCTGAGCCTAAGCCTGAGCCTGAGCCTGAACCTGAGCCTAAGCCTAATTAAAACTTTTTCAAAATCCCTCACCGCATGATCAAAAGCGACCGCGTTGATGACCATGAATTTGCGAAGATCGTATTTGTAAGGAGCATAGTTTCCATGCCATCCAACAACATCAAAAGGAGAATGATTCTGAAAAATGATAAAGCTATCGACTAAAGTACTTGTTTATTGACTAAAGTACTTGTTTCGCTTTGAAGAAAACTCCTTGATATTTGGAGATGATCTCAAACGGTTCATCTCTTTCTTCAAACCAAGCCACTGGAGTCTCGAAATCACGAGGATTTGCAAGCCCGTTCGCTCCTAAAAACAGAATTTTATGATCAGACTCATTCTAGCTCAGACTCAGACAAGCTGAACTTTAAGCTTTTCTAGAATTATATCCAATATCCACAAAATACCAACCAATTGGTCCCAAATCGGGCAATTGAAAATGAACTCCGTAAACCTCAAGAATATAGCCACGAGATGGACCACGAATATCAATCGAGAAGCGGATTCCTTGAGGGATCACACAGATTTCCTCAAACCAATCAAAATCAACAAGCTAGCTTTTGTTTTTCAAACCTGAATGCCGACAAGAATTCGTCCAAATTCCGTTGTCACTTCGAGTTCACCTTCTTGTGGAACTAAAAGCATCAAGTTCGACGGAGTTAAGGAGATTTCCTATGCGTTTAAATATTCAGTTAGTTGTAATCAAGTAGTCTAAGTAATCAAATCGAAAATGTTCGTTTTTAGTCGCAAGAATCTCACATGAATTATCTATCTAATTTTCAATTAAACAACGAAGATACTTGTTGAGAAGATAGCCTTTCCACAAAATTGTCGTTTTCTAAAGTGAACCTTCTTTGTCTGTCTAGGTTGTCACTAAGAGCGTCGCGTAGTCTGTGCCTGTGTCTGTGCCATTTTATTTTATTTTCGCTCCCTCCCATTATTCTACATTTTTGTATAAAAATTGATTCGGATTCTTTTTATTCTTTTATTCTTTTACATTTTCATTTACAACATGCCATTATTCTTCTGGATTCTGTATTCCCATCATTCCGGATAAACGCTAACTGTTATTCCGCAACTACGTTACAACAGTCGCGAGGATCTACTTCTACAACACTTCTTTAGATGCTTTATCGTTTTTTTAAACACTAATACATCCCGCTCTCCAATGAGAAATCTCGAACTCACCAATGAGAAAATCTCCGTCTGCATTGTAAAAAGCTCGGTGATCCATATTTTTGTTGCAAGCATACATATGAATGGCCAATCCCGATCGGGAGATCACATCACCTCCTCCACAAAGAGTATACAAACCCTAAAGTTGCATGGTTTTAATCTCCCATGTGTCAAACCTCAACAAAATCGGTTCCCTTATCCGGGATCGGATGCGGATTCCAACGCCATTGATTGGGATTTGGCGAGAATTTCCCGAAATCATTCGTCCACGCGTTTTGCTCGAATTTCTCGAATGGATGATGGATCACCGATGGACGAATGCGGTACAGCCAACTAGAATTGGATAGAATTCGGTTATTGATGAGGGTTAACGCAAGCAGTGCACTTGAAACCGTTTTTTAACAAGGTAAACTATATCTTTAGATCTTTAGAAACGAATCTACTATACAGGGTGTCCCAAAAGTTCTTATACTTTTTGTAAACGGAAAACGCGAAAACACGCTCGGAAAACACGCTATTTTTGAAAAACCAACGTCGGATTATAAAAATTCAGGTATTTTTATCCCTGCTATACTTTTTCGCACAAAAGTTACAACTCTAAATAACTTTTTGATGAGGATGTTTAAAAGGTCGTCACAGTGTCACGGCTTTTCAGCTGATATCTGTATAAAAGAGCTGAGCATCATCTTCTCGATTCTCCATTCTCAAGTCGTATTCGCCTCGAATTTCATTTCTTTGAATGCCCCGTTTTCTCCTCGATTTTCTCCTTTCTCCCCCTTTTTCTTGTGTCCCCCAAAAGGAACCCCCAGAAATTTGATTAGAGACAAATCGGAATCCCCGGAGAGATTCGAAAAGAAACAAATTTTGAGAAAGGAACTCGAAAATCGAAAAATTTGAAGAGACAAATGGAAGAAGCCAATTATCGCCTTGAGAAAGATAAAGGAATTTGACAAGAAGGACTTGGGGATGATTTGGGAATGACAAGAAGGATTTGGGGATGATTTGGGTTGGAAATTTCATACAAAAGGGAAAACCTATCATCTTTCAGTAAAACTGATTTAATTTGATTACCTGCGTTTGTTGGAATGTCGCGGAGCCGTGAAGGCAGTGCCCGAGAGCTGTTCCGAGTAAAGACCATGAGGGCATTGCTAAAAGAAAGTTACAGCTTCTCCTTGTGGACAAGAACACTCAATTTTCTCTCCAAACACTCACCTGGGGATTATTTTGTCCCTCCGGCAATGCATCGGGCACTCTTGGATCGCTTGTCGCGAATTCGTTCCCAAAACCGCTCAAGTAGTTTAACTGAAAAGTCGGTCCATTATTTCTAATGAGATTTCGGCATTTATTTTATTTTTTTCTGAGCAATACATCAAGAAAAAGGTCAACAAAAGTAAAAAGAAGGGAATTTTGAAAAGAAATGCACTAGTTTGCACTAGTTTTCATCAAAAACTGGTCCTTTTTCTTTCTGAAAAGCATCAATGGCAGGGAGAATTTACAGGAAAACATCTATTTTCTTTTTTTTTTGCCTTTACGGGATTTTTTTCAATTGAAAAGCCAAAAGAAAACAGCAAAAAGGGTTCTGAATAATTGAGTCACCAATTTGCGGCAAAATAAACAAAAAACTGGATGAAAAGAATGGGAATTTGATGGAATTTGATGGGATTTGATGGAAATTTGATGGAAATCTACAATTGTTTTATTGTAGAACAATTTAGAAGCGAATTTATTGTTAGTTAGAGTCCAAGGTACGGTCAGAACTTATAAATGAATGATACAAATGTCTAGGGAAAGGCAGTTCGCGTGAGCTTTCGTTTCCGGACTAAATCGAGTATGGAGATTCATAATTCGTAATCAAAATCTGCCAAATAAGCCAAATCTGCCAAATAGCCAAAAAAATTGAATTGAAATTAGCTATTGGTAGCTTCAGATACCTTCGAAGATAAGCTTTAAAGCGCGCTTTTCAATCAACGGAATGTGAGCGCCGGTAGCCTAGTGGACAGTAGCCTAGTGGACAGTAGCCTAGTGGACAGTAGCCTAGTGGACAGTAGCCTAGTGGACAGTAGATGCAATACTATCCACTAGGCCACCGTTAGCCATGTCCCGGTGATTGAAAAGCGCCCTTTAAAGCTTCAATTCAAATTTCTTCAATTCTTTAAACCCCTTTAAAGCTTCGAAATTTCAATTCAACTCAAGCTTGCAGACGATTTTGAATCGTCTGCAAGCTTATTTGGCAGATTATGAACGGCAGACAACGAAAGCTCACGGGAAGGCTCACCTTTCGCTAGTAAGATTCAAATGAGCTTACAAAAGTACCGTATCCCTGTACTTGGTATCCTCTGACTATCCTCTGACGATGACTCATGGTTCTTACGTAAGTGGTTAAGAGAATGTAAACGAATCTGTAAGTGGTCTGTAAGCGAATCTGTAAGCCTAAGAGAATGTAGATGACTGACAGAATGTAGATAGCTGACAGAATGTAAATGACAGACATAATGTAAATGTTGGTGTTCGTATCGAGTGTTTTGGGGGTATTTCTCCCCTTTTCTCGAAGTGTCCACCACAAGGAGTGATCGACGAAAGCTCTCCCTTGAGGCCTTTCCACCGCTTCCCCTCCCCTTCCCCTCCCTTCACAACACTCACATCCCCTCCCCTTCCCATTCTCAACATTCGACATCTCCCTTCCTTTTCTTCCTCCCTTTCTCCCCTTGTTCCCTGCAAAACTGGATGCAAATCCTAACGATCTCCGTCAAATCTTTCCCCTTTTCCTTTCTAGTCAAATCTCCTTTCGGAATCATGAAGCTACGAGAAAACAGCTCCGATTACACGATGCATTAAACTGCTCCATTTAAGCTCTCGTCAATATCTTGAATGGTTTAAATACCTAAACTTTGTTACAATTAGACCTAAACCTACTAAATCAGCAACTACAAAACCAGCACAAAAAGACCAAAAAGATAAATGGCCATTTCTCCGTGCGGACCATTTCACCGTCTGCGCAATGGCGAAATGGTCCGCGCGGCGAAATGACCTCAAATCCCAAAAAAAAAGACCTGTAAAAGAACAAAAAGAAAAGAAGTAGTATTTCAATGTGTGTCTACAAAAATTTCTAGTAATGAAAACTCTAGAATGGTGAAGATAGAAGAGCTATAAAAAGAAGTATTCAATTGGAGACTAGTCGGAAGAGCGCGAACAAAACAACGCCGTTTAAAACAGCACCATTAATTTGAGCGCCGTAGTCAATTGAGCGTCAATGCGAAAAAGGCTAGAAAACGCTTCTTTGAGTTGATTAAGCTGCAAAACGATTAAAAAAACCTGATTAAACTGCAAAACGTTCGTTTGAGGATCGTTTTAGCGATTTCAATTAGTTTCAATTCAATATTTTTAAAGTTTGCTGGTTTTCTTGCAGAACTTCAACAGCAATGACTTCAAAAAAAACTTTAAAAACTAAACGAACGTCTTACGATCTTTTTCATTTGGCACCCAGACAAGTGGCGCTGTTTTCTCACTTTTTTTGTCGCTGTTTTGTTCGCGCTCCTAGTAGTCCTCTAAAAATTGAATGAAAGCATTATCCACCAAATCAACGAGTCTAGGTCAAGAAAATTGAGGAAAAGAGAGTGAGAAAAGCTTTGAATGAGTAAGAGGTGGATAAGGAGAAAGGAAAAGGAATAGAATAAGAGAATGAGAAGGAAAGGGGAGGGGACTCGCCCAGCTCAACGAGGTCCACTCAGGGAAGGGAGTGAAAGGAGGGGGCAGGTCCAAATGGGAGTCCCTCACGGGGAGTCCAAGAGAACCCTGAGGAAGCGACACATACACGCGAATTCCCTGTCTCATTCACACCCTTTCTTTTCCCCCATCTCACCCCCAATGGACACATGTCTTCGGGAAACCGCATTCCATTCCAAAATTCGCGTCTCAATACCTTTTTGGGATTAGGGTCATGTAAGAGACATTTTCTCTCACAAAAACTGCAATATCAAACTTTTCCCTAAGAGTCTTAGAAACATAGTCTTAGAATTACTCAAAGAACTTTTCAATTCACCGATTTCCGATTGAAAAACAAAAATGAAAGATGAGATAAAATGCATTATGAATTTCTTAAAAGCTCTAGAAGAAATTTCGTTGAAAGAAACGGAAGTTGATTAGAAAAGAAAAGAGAAAATGCAAGATGTGAAGAAATGGAGGAAAGAGAAGAAAAGAACAACGAAATAAAGAGAGAATGCAAAGAAGAGGAGGCATTCATATAGAAAAGAGGGAAAGGAAAGGAAAGGAAAAGCAAGGGAGTGGATGAATTTATGAAGAGGATGACGTGCACACCATAAGAACAATGCATTTGCAATGTAATTCTCTATTTATCGAGTGATTACAATTTTCGACCAGACTTAATCACTTAAATTGGCTATGATGAAGCTAACAATAAGCTGAAATTCAGCCTTTGCATACATGAGTATACAGAGGGACCTAGCAACGCCTAGAATCTTTCGGCACTAAAAAGTACCGCTACGATCTTGTTCACTATAGATATTCTTTGAATGACTTACATTATCGAAGTCGACCATGATGATCGATGAGTTTGGATTATCGAATGACTCGATTGGGGAACTATAAATGGAGCGGAGACACAAATATCTTTTCACCAAAAATCCTTGAAATCATCACGAGGCGGCTCGCAAATCATCTTGATAACCCAGTAATCCATCACTGACAATCCCTTTCCTGCTGGAAGGATAACCCCAAACCATTTGCAGCCATTTTTTACAACCCCATCATTTGTGCGATTAATATTTGGGAAAAACGTTAAAATTTTATTTGTGAACCATTAACATAACAGAAAATTGATAACATCAACCCAAAAAAGTGAATCGATAAATAAAAACCCAGAAACTCTTAGAAGCCTATATCATGAAAAGTTTGCTAACACATTAACTTATAGTTAGGTACTTGTCAAGAAAGGTAACGCCAAAAGAAACAACAAATTGTTTAAGCACCAGCAACCTTTCTTTTTACTAATACGGTGAATCTGTTGCGGGTGCCCATACATAAAACAACGGGTCCTTTACCAGAAAATAATCAAAACAACAAGACATCCAAATAGCACAAGCATATATTTTAGAAGCCTTTTCTTGCGTTCGAGTCATTTTGTCCTCCAGCGCGTCGACGTTGCCCAGTCGCTCCAGCACCGCCGCCAACTCCACTTCCCCACACACCGGCTCCACCCTTGCCACGCTGCTCTCCGCCTCGTCCGGGCTAAATTCAAAGAATATAATGTATGCATAGAATCTAATTTTAGCTTCGCTATTTGTTTTTGCTCGCGGCAAACAAAAAACCTCAAAATTACCTGAAATGTCTGCATCTTTTTCTTATCATCACCACGATCGCCTCCTCCCCGGCCGGCAAACCAGGCACCGGGCCCAGCATAACCGCGACCGCCAGGTCCACGTGGTTCCATAACCTACAGAATATGCTAATTGGGGAGTGTTTGAGAAGTTTACTTGTTCATTTTGTTCAGCCAATTGATGTAACTTGTCGGTCAAATGGAGAGCTAACAGTTGTAGACGGCTAAAACGCAATTTGTAAGCTTGATAGATCGATAAAAGAATTTACCTCGGTTCCACTCGATGCATCATCACGCACCCGGTCGGCTCGTCTAAGGTCGCCGCCAATTCTTCAGCAATAATCATTTTGCTAAAAACTTTTTTAATTGCCAAGATTATTTTATCATACCTTATGATGGCGTGAACTTGTCTTTCATCGAGCTCAAATAGTGCAGCCAATTTCTTCAAAGAAACAGTAGTGTAAACCGTTGAATACATCAACAAGTAGGTGCGCAATGATTCTTCTTGAATTCTTCCAACCACCATATTCTTCACAACATCCGCATTTCGGAAAAGATTCCAGACCTAAACTATCAAGATAGATTGAAGAATGTCAGTGTACCAATCACCTTTGCATTCATTTTGTCGTTGACAATGTAGTCACGGCATTTCTTCCAGTCACCGGCCAACATTGCACGAGAAGCGGCAACCACGTGTTCTCTCGTGTTTTCCGGAGGTCCAACCAGGGATGACTAAATTGACACTCGATTTTAAAAAACACTATTTATCATCACCAACCTTTTTCATTTTGTTTCAACTGGTAATGAAAAGACCGTGAAAGCAATCTCTTGCGCAATTCAAACTCATGCGAAGCCATGTGTGGAATTTCCAGAAGCATTGAGCAAATCAACTAAAAAAATATGTATTGGATAGACTATTTAGTACAAACATAGACGCATTCCATCAACTCGATATTGATGTGCATATGATATGGCACTTGACGGCTGCGCTCTAGCTTTTCCTAAACAGACAAATTTTTTTAAAACAAAGCTTAGGCTACCTGTTCTTGAGTTCGCTCATATTGACGCATGGCAATTCCCTGTGCAAGCAACTCCTTAGAACGCTGTGTATTTTGAATTTCCGAAAGTCCTTGATGAGCTTCCCTAAAACGATTTTATTAATAACTGTGAACTTCAATTTCCATGTTAATTTAATATTATGTAGGAACTCTTCCAGGGCATGATTTCATGAAAGAGAAAACAAGCCTATTCCGCGAGTCCGTTATTTTTTCCCGTTTGAATAACCCTAAGGACATGTTGCCTTTAAGGTTTGCAGACGGGTATTGTTTTGCGCACTTTATAGTTCGTTTTAAAACATGTTTCAGTTTACCTTAATGTGACCATGGCGGAAGGCGCAGAGGCCCAATTGGCAAATAGTCCTATTGTACAGAATTTGAGTCGACACATCAGAGTGGTCAACAATGGCTTGCAGATGACTCATTAACATCAAGTCTCGAGCCTAAATCTTTTGATAGAATAGCAATTAAACTATAACGGACCTTGTGCCACTCATCATGAAGTGCCAAAAAGTACACATGACAAAGCATAGCGCGTTGCCGAAGCCTCTTCTCATCATCCAACTAAAAAATCTTAATAGTCAAAGAACAAAAAAAGATTTGATCCAGAAAATTTTCAGACATGCCCAAAAAATTTTACCTCCCACTTTTCGTCATTCTAGAACAACAATAAGTGTAATCAAGCAATAATTTATTAGACAACAACTCGACTAAAATATTACGAACCGCGTAGATGCGCTTGCAAAGGCGTTCCATCAGTTGAGAAGCAGTCAAACCATCTTCTTGCTCAAACGTGTCCTCATACTAAAACACCTGATATTTTCATAAAAATCAATGTATACCTTGTAGTACATATGCTCAATCCGTAACATGTAGATCTTGCAAACTTCGTCGTTTTCAAAGAGACCGATCTCTATGCGTTCATCGATAAACTTTTGAATCTTTTCAATAAGAGAGCAGATATCCTTTTCGCCTTTCAGCCTGAACCAAAGATGAGGAAGTTCAATGCGGTAAAAATATCAACTTCTCTATGTAGTCGGTTGAATGGCAATCAGCGTTCTGAAGAATCTTTGTCAGCTCTGTATCGAGGCGTTGGACCGACATCAAAACGGAACCATTGACTTTGTATGGTTTTTCAGGATCCTAAATGGAAGGTATAGCACGAGACTTTGAAACTCCAAAATACCGAGACATTCTCATCCTCTTCGGTGATTCGAATTGACAAGTGGACATTCGAATCTATCAAAAGGTCAACCAAGCTGTTAATGGCAATCAAAGCCCTAAAAGGTTCCTTCTAATTTTTTTGAGATTAAAATATACTTATTCCAGGTTGAGAAATCCATACAATCGCTCACACTTGGGGTAAGTTCGAACAGTGCCGAGACAATGTTGAAGAGAATCTTCACCAAGATACCACTTCCGAATTTTTTCTGAATAAATATTTTGAAAAATCACTCTGCAATTTTTTTAACCTCTTGAGCAATATTGTAGAGCTCTTGAAGAATTCGAACATAATGCTTGCGATTCGTAGTTTTTCGTCCACGAACAGCCATTTTCTCGTTGAACTTTTCAATAAGTACCTATAACCATGTTTGATTTAACTGACTAATTTAAGCAAACCTCGAGCGTGATTTCTGTTTTTGGCGGAAAGAGAACACCGATGTCTTCCTCTTTCTTTCCAACTTCAGTCCAGCCTTCCTCGTCTTCATCTTCAGAAACAATTTTGATGATCTTTGCCTAAAAAGCACATCTTATTATTACATAAGGCATAGACTTTAATGGCTTGAAGCTTCCAACTTACCTTATGAGATCTGCTTTTTCCAGGCTTGTCATCCTTCTTGCTTTTTGAATCTTGGAATTCTTTTCTAAAAATAGTTTTAGTAGATATTAGTGTTAAACTACAAACTTCAAAAAGTATTTACGAAGCTCCTCCATTTTCTGTTCTGAGAAATCAATCTCCGACTCAGAAGTCGATGTTTCAGTATCAGTTGACCACGCATCGGAGTCGAACTATAATACTGTTTATTGACTAAAAAGTTTAAGTTCGAACTTCTTCTTCAACTGCAGCTGGAGCAGGAGCGCGTCCAGCAAATTCCTAAAGTTATTCATTGAAATGTTAGAGGAAAGGTAACTGACATCATCGCTTTTATCCTTTTCGTCTTCAGCTTCAGCGCTCACTTCCTCTTCCGGGCTTTCGTAACCAAGTGGGTCTGGATTTTCACGATAGTTTTTGAGCTCCAGCACAAGATCCATTCCAGCAACCACATTGGCATCAGCGTGTTTGCGTACCCGTTGATGTAAACGAGTAAGTCCGTTTGAATTTGGCTTAGAAAGAGCCTGAAATATATTAGCTTCATATAAATCTATCAGAATCTTACTTGTTTTGCTTCTTTGTCTTTCCAAGTGTTTTCCACAAAATCCTCCAATTCGGCCAAGTAGCGCAGGTAAAAACGTGGAATGGGAAGGCTTTGACGACGGAGAATCGGCTTTGCTTTATCAAAAGCTTTGCAAAGTTCTTCGAAGACTAGAATATCCTGTTATGAATAGCCCCCGAAACATTCCTTACGTTCATAGAGCTTCGAAAAATCTTTGACATTCTTTGCATTCTTCGTCTTCTTGATCAATCCTTTGAGCTCGTCGTATTTGCGATCTTTGTGAGCTCTTACAACACGTCGTTCTTCTACTTCATCATCACTTGGGTAGGCGAAGTCACGACCACTAAATAGGTGAAGTATAAAAATGTCCAAATAAATGCTCAATTAGGGTGTTAAAAAATAAAAGACTACTTACACTGGAACTTTCTTTTGAACTGGTTGTTGAACCTCGTCTTCTGAACCCGATGATTCGGACCCAGAGCCCGAATCACTGTCCATAGCACCTCGAAAGAAGCGAGACATCTTCTAAAAGTTTTAGAAGTGGCTTAACGAGAAAAAAACAGTAGTCAAAACCAGGCAAAATAGCAGTCTTTTAAAAATGACGAAAAGGCATCCAAAAGGCAAAGAGAAGAACGGACAAAGGACAAGTTACGGTGGCTTTCCCAACATTTCACATTCCGTCGACTAAGATACCATTTTAAGACACATAATTAAAAGCATTTGCGGTCAATCACCAAATATTTAAAAATTGAAAGCAATTCAAACATAACAGATTTATTAGATAAAGTTAAACAACAAAACAACAACAATATATTTCACTATATATTTCAAAAATATTTGAAAACAAACAATCTATGGTAAGAAACAACCAATAAATACTTAGCGAGACCTCAAAAGTACATTAACAAACAAAAAAGGGGCAAAACATTGTTATACAAGAACCTTCCTTTCCAAAAGACAATCGAGCATTAGGGTAACGTTATGAAACCTGGTTTTAAATATATGCAATACGGGGTGTTACTTTAGTAGACTAAGCAAAACGGGGAGGAGGTGGGAAAGAAAAGGTTTCAGTTCCATTCGTATTGCATAAGGGCGTTGAAGGAGTGCTCATTGACCCGGGGAAAGTGAACAGCTGCTTTGCAGTGACGATTGGTGGAGGTGTTTGCGTCTGCAGGTTCATCACGTATGGCTGTAGATCAACACCGCCCATTCCAGCTGCCAGCGATGGAGCGGTCCCAAAACCCAAAGCGTGTCCAAAGATATTTCTAAAAGTGAAATGTATCAAAGTTAGGTGTTTTACTGCTTACCTCTGTGGGATTTCAAATGGTCGGGCCATTCCTTGCATTGCGATGGTCATTTGTTCTCCATTCAGCCAACGCATAGTGTCAAATGGTGTCGCCTCCCGTGGAGTATGTCTTGTCAGCGCTTTGTGATCAGCCATCTGACCGCAAAGATTGTGACGGAGCTAAAATAAAATTGATCCTATAATGAAATAAAAGTCCTCACCTGCCAGCAAACAAGGCAGAAATAAGAAAAGCATTGACGACGGGTACAAAAAACTTGGCCATTGGCCTTCTTGCACATCTAAAACGATATCAATTATTTCCACTCTTGACAAACTGCTACCATGCAAAGAGCTTCTTCGAGAAATGGATCAATTTGAATGCGCTTCAGAAATTTGTTGGTTCGAATAGCAAGGTGAGCCGAGCCGACAGCTTGGAAGAATGCCATGTATGATGAGAACGTGACTCGACCACTTCCTAAATAGTTTTTCATGAAAGAGACAAAGCTAAATAGGTACCTATTGGGTACTTGTATTTGTCGGTGTCAATTCCAACGTAAATCACATCTCCGAATGTTTGATTCATGATCGTGAACAAAGCTTCGGCGGTGAGCATTCCGTGCAGTCCTCCAACAAAGATCGTTTTTTTCGGGTCCAGCTTTCCTGTTGGATCGTGCACATAATTGGCGTCCGAAACAACCCACGGTATGACTTGCACCTAAACCAAACGTCACCATTATGCAAAGCAATCAAAAAACCTGTCGAGTGTTGCCTCCACTAGCCGATGGAATATTCAATGTGAAATACAAATCCTGTGTGTCCATGTTGAATTGTTTACAATCTTTCAATAGTTGCTTCGCAGATTTTTCTTCATCAAAGACCACATAAATATAGCCAACAGTCTAAATAAAGATACATTGACACTCACAAAATTTAATCTGCAGATCATCGCTAAAAAAACTTACTTTTCCACGCTGCAAAACTCCACGGATTCGCCCTCGACCTGGCCATTCTATTCGGCAGCGTCCATAAGGTGCAAAAGCATCGTAAAGAAGTCGCTCCGAGACATCATATGGAACTAAAATAAATGTTATTTGCCAAAAAGAAAGAAAAAAACTCACTTCCACCAATGAATAGCTTGCAAGAGTAGACCGGATTGTGATGAACTCGAGGCATGATTTGCCCATTCCACGAAGCAGGTGCTGTTGCGGGTTGCATCATCAAAGCCGCGGCTCCAGCTCTTTCTTCCAATTCTTTCAACTAAAATTAAAAGTAGTAAAATAAAGTTTTTTAATGCCTGCAATAGAATGTGTAAAAAAACTTACATGAGTCTTCGTCAGTAACTCCATCTGACACGTTCGATAAAACTCCATTGCAACTTGTTGTTGATGAAATGCGCTTGTGAGTTGTGCCGCCGTAAGTGGCTGATTTCGTGGTTGCTCAATGCCTCGAAAATTTGAAAACACGTTGACAAGTTGCTCTGCGGCGAATGGCTGATTCTTTGGCGGCTCATTGGATTGCAAATTTGCGTAGCCGGGCACCGTTTCTCTCGAAGTTAGGTTGTGGAAAGTTTGCGTGATATCGCTCAACTCAGCAAGGTGATCGGTCCCATCCTGACCTCGGTAGTTCCCATTCTCCATTGTTACTCGTTAATCCGTGATTAGTAACCTGAAAAGAAAAAGTTAGCTTAATTTGCAAAAAAGAACTGAGAACAAATGCTACGAGCTTTGGGGGGGGAGCACTTTTTTCACCAAAAACCATTTTTCCTGGGATAATTCAAGAGGTGATAAAAGTTATTTTTAAGGCAAGTTAGTAACGAAAAATGTCCGTTTTTAAAACTCAAGGTGCCATAGCAGTTGGGAGGGGTTTTTTTTGCACTGAGGATCTAATGCTAAATCGCCATCATTAGGTTTAGGTTTTAGGCGCGCTTGGAATTGATGCCAATGTTTCTGATATTCTAAATGATGCTTTGACTTGAAAAGTGTAGCAAGATCAAAATTGACAAGAACTTTTTCCGGTTAAAATAACATCTGACGCAAAATGAAAAAGTGAAAATGACTTTTTTCGTGGATTTCTCTAATTTATAAAGAATTTGTCAAAGACTATTCAAGTGCTCAATTGAATATCTTTTTGTTTCGATTTTTTGTCTCTATCGGTTGCTTGTTCGTCTAGGAAGCGTCCAGAAAAGTTTTTCATATCGATTCGCTTCGGATCCGTTTTTTGCCCAAAGATTCAAGTATACAGATAAAAAATGTAGAATTCGATAGCTTTAGAATGTTGCTTTACAAACATGCAAAAATAGATTTCAAATAAAGGAATGATTTCAGTTTTCTAGTAAACCCGTTGAATTGGAACTAGGTGACGTGCGAATCGAGGCTGATAAAAAGTGAATCACTTTATGTAAGAAGACATTCGATGACCAAATTTGGCGCATAAAGCAGTATTTTTCGTGTTTTTTTTAAAGTAGCCTAGCAAAAGTGCATTTACATGCTTTTTCCATAAAATTACAAACTTGAAATTTTCTAAATTCAACTACACTTGAATTGAAAACTAGTTTTATAAACTTGATATCTCACAGAAGCCCTTTTTGGTTAGCACATGAATTCGGAACCCGGACATTTCGCATAACCCATTTCGCCTAACCCATTTCTCCTAGCGACATTTCGCCCAAAACTATTAAATACGAATTTTTCGACATCATTCGATCTTCTTTGAGTTGCTGTGGTGACACCTCGTTCGCGGTGTTCACCAATCTTAATGTCAATGTGAACCTGGTAATAAAGGTTTGTTTTCCAAAAATTTCAACGTGTTTGGATGGTCCGAAATGTGCCCTCGAGGCAATTGTTGGTTTGTTGGTCTCCATTCAGGGTTCTTTCAAAAAGGAAACTTTGCGGAGGAAAAGTTGGTGCTTTTTGATATTCTAGTCTTTTCTCCAATCTGTTCAAACCATTGAATCACAGGCTCGAATCGTTTGTCTAATCAATCCTCGAGGCAGCCCCAAGTTGAATGCAGATCCTAAGCGGGAATGAAGGCAATAGCTTTTAACATTTGAAATTGCTATCGTGAATCTCCTAACTCCAACACTAAATTTATCAATTCGACTAAAATACAATTTAAATTGCGGAAAGAATAGTTGCGGAGGATGGTATAAAAAATGCGGCACTAATTTGCGTAAATAAATATGACTTCTTTTCACTGTTCTGCATATTAGACGTGGTTATCGGATCGGATCAGGACCGATCTGATCCGATAGGTCTGACCGGCCGAGGTTAGCCCGATCCTATCCGATCCGATCAATCGGACTTCCAGATTAAATTAACATTTTACATCTGCAATTTACAAGCAAGATCTGCTTTCTATTTTGCGCTACTTTCTGTTAACGAAAGCCGTGTTTTCTGTTTTGCAACCAAGCACACAAATTACTACTGCACGATATTTGCCCGTACAAGCGACAAAAACATTTGTATCTTGCTTGTCACTTCTAATCCATTGTTCATTTGCTTTTCTTTTTAACCTACAACAGTTTTAATTTCAATTTTTCTAGATGGGTGGTGAAGAGAAAGTTCGCAAATTTTACGTCAAAGAAGGTAAGCATGACGTGCGCTTGAAGTGCAAAAAGAATGGAGATCCCATTTTCGCTCGGTCGGATCGGACAATGTACGGGCAATGTATGATCGGATAGCCCGATTCGATCCGCTACGGTCAGATTTTGCCAAAAAAACCATGTCTACTACATATGAATCGTCAAACGAAGGTTTTACAGTACAAGAATTGCTTTTTTCGAACCGCTTCAATACCACAACCTTCAAAACCACTAAAAGCTCTACAATATCCATTCTGTGCGTTTCTACAAGGGTTGGTAAGCTGAGTTTGTAGAGCTTAAGCTAAAGTTCTAAAGCGAAATTCTAAACTTTCTTTTATGTAACTTTATTCTTGCACATAAACTTTACAAGACACATTTAACACATACATTTAATTTAACACAAAAAATAGTCTCAAATCTTTTCACAACATTCATTTATTTCTTTCTTTTTTTCATCATTTGACATTTCTCGTTGATCTTTGCGAATAAGTCGAGAGCTCGAACATCTGAAAATTCTTTTCTTTTGAAACCTTTCCAAATTTCACTTTAGCAAGCCAAAATCGTAATAGAATTTGTGCAAAACCGATTGGGGTGTAAAAAAATCAGAAAATAAGTACAAAAATCAGAAAATAAGTACAAAAATCAGAAAATAAGTACAAAAATCTTTGAATCTATTATAAAATAGAGAAGAACTCACTATTTCGAGAATCTCTTATGACAATGAAAAGTGTTTCTGAATGGAAAAAGTTCGGGTTGAAGAAAATGGGATTTATTTTGAGTATCACTCTTTTTCTATGTCAAGTTTCACCTCCTCAATGAGAGTGACGAGAACAATGGAGTGCACTTAAGCATGTCCTTTAATTGAATCGACTCATAGTTCTCAATCGATTCTTGGAATTTCTCGATCCACCGTTCCTAAAGTGTCCCAGTATACGTTTTCATCTCATTGATCCATCTCATTGATTCATCTCATTGATCCAATTTAATCATCCAATCCAATTCACTAATTTAATCACTAATCTACCTTGTCATGCTTATCCAGAGCCTGCAGAGTACAAATGGAAACCACCTGAAAGTTTTGTTTAATCATTTCTTTACGAATCACTTTTACTTGATAATATCTCGTCAAATGAATGATCACAAAAGCATAACGAAGAGCGGACACTAAATCTGGAATAAAAAGAAATCAGGAATAGAAGGGGAACTTGATGATGCAGCTTCATTCGAATCAGCATCACAAAAGACACAGGAGTCGAGAGGAACTGGTTGTTTCTGTACAACGTAGTGCTCACTTTTTCCAATTGATGTTCCTTTCTAGAATTTTAAAGATATATTTACTGTAATTGTACTGTACTGTATTGTACTTCATTGTAATTGTACTGTACTGTATTATACTTTATTCTAGTTGTACTGTACTGTATCGTACTTTATTGTACTTTATTGTAGTTGTATTGTACTTTATTGTAGTAGTACTGTACTTTATTGTACTTTATTGTAGTTGTACTGTATTCACTCACCACTTTGATCTTACTCGCGCATCGTTTAGTCTTTGTCAATAAAAACATATCGTTGAATAAAAAAGCGTAAACATCCACAGTTCGTCCGTTTTCTGAAAACTCACAAGTTGTAAGCATTTGAAGATTTCTTGTATTTTCCTTCCTCAGTCTCTTACCGACAAGTTCCAATGGTCCTTCGTGGATTAATTTTCGTCTCGGATGTGCAAGTAGGTTCTCACAAAATTGTCGACCCAGCGCCACTTTGAGGAACTGAACTTTGGAATATTGTTATAAAGATATTGTAGAGGTGTAGACTGTAGAGGTGTAGACTGTAGAGGTGTAGACTGCAGCTACAGGTGTAGACTTCTTATAGTTAAGAATATCTTAAGCTCTACTCTCTATCTCACTAAAGTAGGTCTCAACGTAGGTGATAAGACTAAATTTCTTTCACTTCAGTTGACTAAAACCATTACAGTATCAGTTTTGAGATCTGGATACCATAGTGAGTCCAAAGCTTACTATTAGACATGTTAAAACTTACAATTGTAACCCAATATCTTTAGGCTACAAATTACTCACATCAGGCACAAAAGTCCGCGGCTCAAGCTCCATAATCGATGGCCAAACAACCTAAATCCATTTCCTGGTGCTTAAATTGATTGATTGACTCTCTTCTATCTTATCTGTTTTCTATCTTATCTCTTTTCTATCTTACCTCTTTTCTATCTTATCTCTTTTCTTTCTTACCTATTTGCTTATCTTCTATCTTATCTGTGTCTGCTTGACTATCTTCTATTGACTTTTGACTATTCGATCTTTCTCACCTGTGTCTGCAGTTGTTGAAGTCGCTCAAAATTGTGCAACCATTGCACCGAGTCATCGATGGAGCCTGGAACTCTTTCATTTTCACATCAAAACTCCTTTCCCCTACGCAAATTCTCATTCATTCCCTCGATCACTTTCTCCAATCGTTCTCTCTGTGGCACGCCCTCAGTATGACGGAAAATTTCCTTAAAAAAGCATCGATTACTGTACTCAACTAAGTATTTTATAAACCTTTAGCAAGATGGGTAAACGGGTGATTCTTTGTAAAGGAGCGATGAGAAGATCTTCTAATTGAAGACGGAAACAACGCTCGTCGGAGAGACAAATCTAAATAAAATGCTGGTACAGAGGGCGGTATAATTATCCATAATGTGACGCATCCACAACAAGTAGAGTTATCTTACTATTTTTCTGTTTTTTTTATGACTTACAAGTATAAAACGAAAAATTTTTGTTTAAGGTAATCGATTTGTCGGAATGGTGAAGCCTTTGATCCACCGTCGGTCTCCATCAAAGAGGTCCATCATCAATTGATGGAGATGGCTCAATACAGAATCGCGTGAGAGCAAGTCAAGTCTCCGTCTACCAAAAAGTTTAAAGCCTTGGGTACAAATGGGATCGTTTGGCAGGAAGCGATCTGTCATTACAGCCGAGAAAGTGCGCGAGAAGATCAGAAGAAACCCATCGCTTGCCGCACTAGTCTGTGATTTCCGAGCCGTCGATGGAGAGAATTGTTTGAAAACACCTCAAATTAAAAGCCTTCAAGAAGAAGTGTCAAGGAGCAGCGAAATAAAAACGAAGGTCTTCTCCAACGGTACCCGGGCCAGCAACATCGCTCCATTGTGCTCAGTGATGAGAAATTTTTCACTGTCGAGCCAGCGCTTAATGTAGAGTCCTCGTAGTATAGTCCGCGCGTCTTACTCAGTTGTTTTGAAGCGTACTGTAGCACTGTATGCAAATTTCAACAAACCCTCTCAAATTCCGCAAATCTTTCCTCCTTTTGTCGAATTGTCTGCAAATATTCCATGGTAGCTCGATAATTGATACAGTAAGCTTGATAAGCTGAGATTGTTGATGGACCTTTCGAGAACTGTAAGTAGAAGAGATTTGATTAAAAGAGTAAAAGAGATAAGTTACTTTTTCAAAGAGCTGCACAACGAGCTCAGTGCAATCGAAATCGGTATCGGGAGGTGATGTATGAAGAAGTGAAAGGAAAGTCTGACAAAAGCCACGAGAGATTCGACATAATTGATCCAGATTTCCTGGAAATTGAAATGTAAAGCATAGAATGGAAAGCCTGGAATGGAAAGCCTAGAATGAAAAGCCTAGAATGAAAAGCCTAGAATGAAAAGCCTAGAATGTAAAGCCTAGAATGTAAAGCCTGGAATATAAAGCCTAGAATGGAAAGCATAGAATGGAAAGCCTAGAATGGAAAGCCTAGAATGGAAAGCCTGGAATGGAAAGCCTGGAAAGTAAAGCCTGGAATGTAAAGCCTAGAATGGAAAGGCTAGAATGGAAAGCATAGCATGGAAAGCCTAGAATGCTAAGCCTAGAATGGAAAGCCTAGAATGTAAAGCTTTCTACAGCTTACCAAACAACAAATCAGGTTCAACAGTGAGAAGACAACCCTCAACTTGGCACTTCTTCAGCGGTTCCTTGTAGACATGACTAAAGTAGATGAATTATGTAAAGATTAAAGATTCAAATGTTATCTGTACTTTATTTAATGTTAAACTTGCCGTAACACTAGCAATTGTCGATGTAAAAACTTCAATTCCGAATGAAAGAGTTCCCAAACAGCTTGCAGATATTTCTGTCGTTTTAGCAAGATTCCCTCGGTTCTTTCAAACATTTCCTCCCAAGTGATTGGCTGAAATGTTCTTAAATCTTTATTTCTATATCTATCTTTATTTTGATTTCTATATCTCTATTTCTATATCTTCATTTCTATATCTTTATTTTACCATTAATTTCTCGAGTTGCTCATCTTCAAACTCATGATCGACACTTGTTTCAAGAGCAGCTTGCACGTGTTTAATAATTTCACGTCTCTTAGCCCGATGCGACCATTCGTACTGAATTTTTATTGTTCAGTTATGATTGATAAATAAATCTCAGCTATTCCCAAACTTACAAGTCTCTTGAGAATCCACGGTGATCTCGTTTTCGGATTCTCATTACTGTTTTCCGCATAGAATGCCTGCGCTGCAATCGTTGCTCGTTGAAGATCTAAACATTTAAATCAATTTCCATATTTGGCAACTAAACCAGCAAGCATTCCTCCTCCCGAACTAATCGCTCGATTGTAAAGATGTGATTCATTTGTTGAGATCTTCACATGGGGAACAATAATCACATTATCTGTTGAACAACAGCCATCGCTTGATCTAAAATCGCTTGATCTCGTTGAGTAGTCAAGAAAACTCAAGTTCAACAGACTTTTACAAAAACAACATTGGTAAAACTCACGATTGTTGTTCTTCTGGCTGAAATTTAGAAAATGATACATTAGATTAAATGTATTTTGTAAAGAAATTGGTTATCCTTTAGCTCAAATGACTGTTCAGATTATGTGCACTTTGAATGACATTTGAATGACTTTGAGTGGCATTTGAATGACTTTGAATGACATTTGAATGACATTTGAATGACATTTGAATGACTTTGAATGACTTTGAATGACTTTGAGTGGCATTTGAATGACTTTGAATGACATTTGAATGACTTTGAATAACTTTGAGTGGCATTTGAATGACTTTGAATGACATTTGAATGACTTTGAATGACAGGCAGCTTGATAGTAAATGAATTTCTTCTAAATGTTGACCAAATGATTGGATTTCTTAATCTTAAATCAATCCTAATACAGTCGACTCTCGAAATAACGATTTTCTCGATGTAATCTCGATGTAACGATTCTTTAATCGCTCTTGCACTAACTTTTGATTTGATACAACGATTTACGACTAAAATGTGGAGAATTTTCTGAAATGGGATGTTGTTCATAGCACGAATGCACTAGATTATATCCTTGCTACTTCAACTACAGGCTCAGGCTCATTGTCATTGTCCAAGATCCAACATTGTCCAAGATCATTAATGCGATAAAATACTCCGAGAAGCCAAGGAAGTGAAAATGAGGAGTTTGTGGAACCAGAGCAAACGATTTCATGACGCTTATCAATGTATCAGACGCTTATCAATGTTTTGAAAAGTTTCAAAACTATAAAAGTGGCTCAAACGGTTCAATGACGGTGATTTTGAGCTGGAAAACAAGCCTTATTCCAGTCGTCCACTTGTTTTGGACGAAAGTGACTTACAAGCTGCTTTGGACGTTTCAAAATGTTTTAAAAGTTTTTGCTGCTTTAACTGTTCTTGATAACTTTTTTTAATGAATTTTTACTTAAAAATAAGTAATCTCAGGTTACAGATTTTTTCGATAAACTTTGAGGGAATTTTATATTCTTTTTGTAAAGTGTTTATTATAAAATTGGATCAAAAGCCTTGATTTTTTGTTTCTACAGGGTTGGGCAAAATTACTGTTGCTCCAAGAAAAGCGGCTGCTAGTGACTGGTTTCTTATTTTTCTGCTCGTTTCTCGTCTTTCATGTATTATAATTGTACTAAATCTTGATTTTAGAAATGGTGTCGGCTAATCCGCTTCCTTAACGCAATGACCAAGTTACATCAACATAGAAAGGCTACAAAGGACATTGTGAAAGTGCTCGAAATTTCTCGGCGAACTGTTCAAAATACGGTCAAACTATTCAAACAACTTGGAAGTAACAAGGATCGTATTGACCGAGGTAGAAAACGTACGACAACTTCGAAACGGATGGTGGAAACGATGAGAAAGCGAATCAAGCGAAATCCCAGACGCTCAATGAACAAAATAGCCACGGAGCTTGGAATCAATCATCCCCACAGAGCACTGGCAGAGTTCAGTGGGAGGAATTGTAAAAAGAAGTTGAATATGTATTCATACAAAAGACAAAAAGCAAAAAGATTGAGTAAAGATATGGTGGACAAACGACTACGACTTCGCAAGGGTCTTCTTAATCGTTTTGCGGAGGGTGTGCCATTGTTGACATTGTGTTTTCCGATGAGAAAATATTCACCGTTGAGGCGGTTTCAAATCAGCAAAATGATCGAATAATTCGAAATCAATTCAAAATGCTAATGCCGACGGACGAATCACTACAAGAAAGGCTTATCCGGCATCAATGATGGTTTGCGGAGCGATCACTTCGGACGGAAAGGCCCACTTGTTTTTGTTGATGTGAGAATCAAAATAAACAAAGATGTTTACAAAAGAGGCTTTGGGGATGTTTTAAAGGCTTGAAGCATTTCTCACTTTGAAAACAAGCATTGGCGTTTCCAACAAGACTAGCACATAAGGCAAAGTTGGTCCAAGATTGGCTAAAGCGTGAAGTTGATCGTTCAAGGAGAATGGCCGCCAAATTCGCCCGATTTAAAGCCATTTGACTTTTCGGTATGGTGAGTTCTCGAGAAGAATACTTCTGCAACAGAAGAATGCTTCTGCAACACCACACAGAAGTTTGGACTCCACGAAAGCTGCTCTCAAAAAAAGCTTGGACCGAATTAGATCCCAAATACTTGCAGGCCAGCATGCGATGCCTTCATGAATCGACTCAAACTCTGTGTGAAAGCCAAAGATGGATAGCCAAAGGTATTTGAGGTTTAAGTATGTGAAGTTGTTATTGTATGTTTGAATAAATTATGTTCCAATTTTTGAACTGAATACCCGGTTTTTGGCGGAGAATTTCAAGTTTTTTGGTGCACAAGTTTTTGGTAATTTTGCCCAACCCTGTATATAACAATTTCTCGATATAACGATTCGATTTCACTGTCCCGACAGAATAGCTATATCGAGAGTTTCCTGTATCAACCTCATATCATTTCCCCACAAACCTGATCCGGCACAATAGCGTGTCTTCTCGAGAGTTGTTCTTTATTTGGATGTATCGTTTGCGCTTCACCCTCATCACTCTAAAGAAATGAATATAGTTTTTACAAGCTAATAATATAGTTTTACAAACTAATAATATAGTTTTTATATATCTCAAAGTTTTGTTTGTCAACTTTTCAACATTAGAATTATTGGGTTGGTGAATTGAAAACTGCCGGCTATTGTCATATGTGACAGTTTGAGCACTTTCTTCAAAAGAAACCCATTTTGGTGTCAATGGAAAAGTTGTAGAGAATCAAAAATGAAGCTTATATCCAAATTTTCAGAACGATTCAAAAACTGGTTTTCTAGAAATGCGAAATTTACGAATTTTCACAAAACTTGCATTTTAAGCGAAACTACTAAGTGTATCTTTTTGGAAATTTACTATAAGCTTCATTTTTAATTCTCTACAACTTTTCTATTGACACCAAAATGGGTTTCTTTTGAAGAAAGTGCTTAAACTGGGCTGACAGCTGGCATCTCCAGTCCTCCATTTTTGAGTCTCACACTTGTCTCACACACAAACCAAAATCCTGCTACGCAAATTGCCTGTAAAATGGGCAGAAGTCGTCAATAATAATGGAAATTATTTGAAAAGAATTCATGGTTTTATGTTGAATAAACTTTAGTTCAAAGTCCGGCAATTTTCAATTCACCAACCCAATATTATCTCAAATCAAAATTCACCACAATCTTATTTGTTGTCTTATTTCTGCAACTTATCGTCACCGCCGGCCCAACCACAGTCACATCGACCAACATTTTTCAACCTTTGATACAGTTTTGAGTTTTGATACAGTAAATAAGATAAAAGAAAGACATTAAAAAAGCATTCAAAACATGAAAACATTAGAAAAGCATTTAAAACAGCTATTTTTTTATAAAAGTCAAGTTCCCAGGGTTTTTCTCGCTAAAAATAATAGATTGAAGTTCTTTAGAATTGTCCTTTTTCAAGTAAAAGAGAAAATTTGCGGAAGTTGAAAAAAGAAAGAAAAAAATTGGATTCGTTTTTTCAAAATGGAGTTCTTTTTCGTCAAAACAAGTCCTTGGAAAGGCGTCAAAATAAATGTGAACACAGTTATTGTAAAGCTAAAATCAGTTTAAAATCAACTCAACTATTTTAGTAAAATTTTGATTCTGGAGTTCTAAAGCTTCAGCTTCAGCTAAATTTTGCGAAAAACAAGGAACTTTTGAGTTTTTCTTTTTTCCTAATTGAATTTTGTTTGGTAATTGGAAAAGACTAAAATGGATGGACGTTTTCGGGGGAAATTTCTGGTGGGATTTGGGTTCAATTATTGGTTAATCACATCTCACAACACAGAAAAGAATACCGACAAGAGGCAAAATTATCAGCAAAATGATAAAAGCTGAAAATTTTCTCGGAAATTTTCTTTCTCTCCACTCCAATCCAAGGATTTAGCTGATTTTTCGAGGAGACTTTATCCTTGGGGGATTCTTGTCCAAATCCAATTTTCACCCCAAATCCGAGCCAAACCCAACTGAAATCATCAAACATGTGCAAAACTTGAAATAAAAACTTGAAATGAAGACTTAAAACTAAAGTTGACAACTTCGTATTCTTTAAGTAGCTATTTGGCAAGGTAGTTTTTTAACGGTCCAGAAGATGAGTCTTGCTTTCGTTGTTTTCATTCAGCTCCCCAAACCATCTTACAGTTAGTTTTGGTCTTCATTGTGGTCCGGCTAAATTTCCGGATCTCCACGCGGCTTCCAAACAGAAATATTAGGTTGTTAAAAAAGTTCGCGGTCACTTGCAGAAAAATTCAACTTCTATTTGCAAATAATCAACAGAAACAACAATATTTACTCTTCGAAGTAAAGTCCGTCATTCTCTACGACTTTCTGCCATCGATCAGCAAGATTTCGGATCTGCTCAAGGTATCAAGCAGCTTGCAGTCCAGTCCAAAACATCCAAAGCAGCTTGCAAGTAACTTTCGTCCAAAACAAGTGGACGACCGGAACAAGGCTTGTTTTCCAGCTCAAAATCACCGTCATTGAAGCGTTTGAGCCACTTAATCGCAACAGTTTTGCCAACATTTCCGTCTTCCACCTCACAAATCACTTCAGCAGCAGATCAGTCCGTCTGCCATCGATCAGCAAGATTTCGGGTCTGCTCGAAGTACCAAGACGGTTCCTTTGAATCAAAGAACTCTTGACACGCTTCTTCAACTTCAACGGAGCAAAACACGAAGTTCACTTTTATCCATATAAAGATGTGGAATGTGTAAAATAAGTTATATAGCAAAATGCTCGCAAAAAAAAACAGGCTTTCAAATGAGCCAAAAACCATAACAATCTATTGTAAAACTAATTAGATAATTTGAACTTTCCTGCAAGCGACCGGGAAATTTTTTAACAAAGCTAACAACCTCCGTAAATAGTGTAGTAGTACCCCACGCCCATGATGACGATGCGGAATGTTGCGTAGTCTAGCTTTAAAAGCGTTTTTCTCGACACTGGTTTATGCTACAATGTGCGCGTAGGTATCAAGCTGAAATAGCTGAAATTAAAGGCTATTTTTTGATACCAAAGACGCTTTTTTTGGACACGGGCGCTTTGAAAAAAGAAATACTAAAAACTTTTGCGACTACGCGACTGTACTAGGGGCGTGGGGTAGTGTTACAGTATTTACGATAGCAGATTGTTTTCTCATTTCAACAAAAAACTTATCGCACAAAAACAATAAACAATACTTTCTTATAATTTTGACAAAAGCAAATGGTTTCAAAACGAAAAAGAAACGACGACGCAGCGCTTCCATCGACTACCTCCAAATGACGGCGACGTCAATTGGAATGCGACGTCGCGCGGAAATTGGGGGGTAGTCAAAACAGCGCCATAATAGAAAACGTTCAAAACAGCGCCGTCAAATTTCTCAAAATCCCAAAAACCAAGCCGGTTAGAGTTTTATATCAAAAAATTCCTTGCGTTCTTGGCTACATGATGGGTGAAACAGTTTTTTAGAAAAGTTAATATTTCATAGATAAAAAGAGCACTCAAAATGTATGAAATATTAACTTTTCTAAAAAACTGTTTCACCCATCATGTAGCCAAGAACGCAAGGAATTTTTTGATATAAAACTCTAACCGGCTTGGTTTTTGGGATTTTGAGAAATTTGACGGCGCTGTTTTGAACGTTTTCTATTATGGCGCTGTTTTGACTACCCCCCCGAAAATTAACGTTTAACAAAAAGATAAAATTAAAGTTTAAAATTAACGACAAAAACTCAAATTTAACATGAAAGCGTCTCGAAAAAGATCTTTTCTCTCTGAAGGGCATTCTCTACTAGGTAACAATTAGAGAAAGTCAGCTTTTCCTCAAAAAAGTTTTGGACTTTTTCTGACTACACATTGCGTGATTACCCTTCATTTAGCGAAAAAGGCAATTTTTTTTTCTTTAAAAAGCCATAGAAACCAAAGATATTCAGCTAAATCGGTGAGTAAATGAGGGATTTGATTAGAAATTCTTACCGAAAATGGGGAAAAATTGTTAACTAGCCGATAAAATTCAATCAGGCTCGGAACTTTTGTGATCCGGAAATGAGAAATGAGAATATGTTAAACAATTCTTTTAGATAGATAAATAGAATTCTTTTGCCTACGATAAGTTATGAGCTCTTCTACAAACGCACATTTTCTCGCATATTAGACTTCAAATGGGGTGTCAGCTGTGCCAGAAAGCATGAGTTTGCTTAAAGTGCACTCTGTTTGTGTTTATTATACTTGAAAGTGAGGATTCAGTGCACCAGATCGAGTAAGTTTTGAGCAAAAGCTCACCCATTGATCGATGAACAATGCTCGCCAGGCATTATAACTATCCATGACAACAGTTAGGAAATAAAATTAGCTTAATAGCTTAATACTTATCTAGAATTGTTTGTAGAGTTCAAATAAACGATTTTGATATTTGGAAGTTTAATATGGTGATCGTTTTAAAGAGAAAAAAACAGAGAAGAACGTGTGTTTTGCTTGAATAAAATGGGTCCCCAGCGACTCGTTGAAACCATTTTCGACAAGTCCCATTCATTTTTTCGAAAAGGGAACTCTTCAAGCTGAAAAAGTTCAACAAATTTGTCAGAAGTTAACAAATTTACAGCTTAAAATGAGGCCTAATCAAAATAAAGTAAAGAAAATGAAAATGAAAACAGCGCTGTTCAAAATAGCGCCAAATTGAAAAAACTGTGATTAGATTTTTCAACCACAATTTTTTTTATACTTCTCATAACAAGTTGTAACTTTTGTTATTTTTTAAACATTTTTAAGCATCTTGCGCGTGATTCTGCCTCAATCATCACCTCAATCGTCGAAAGTTCTTTACGGCTAGCGTGTAAGAAAAGTTGCGACTCAAAATGAATCTTTGGTTAAGAGTCCAGTCGATCATTTAAAATTTTTATGTTCTTACATTCATGTGTTAACTCCGTTGTTTCATTCTTTTTATTTCCTTAATTGAATAAACAAGTTTTCATCTACTAATTTACTTGAGAATGTACAAAAAACTAAAGCTTTTATTGAAAACTCCAAAAGAGCGTTGGTACAGAGCTACTTTAAAATCTTTAAATTTGGCGCTGTTTTGGCGGCGGCTTTTTGGCTAGAACCCCTTAAAATAAGTATAAATGATTCTACACGTAGACTTTTGGATCCTTTTCGAAAAAATTTTTCTTCCATCCCTCTAATTAGGGATCAGCTGGGGGGAAATTTTCCCGCATTCCTTTGACAACACGAGTTTGAAAGTGAAAAGTGCAAAAGCCAAAGTTTATTTTTCATCACAAAAAATCTTAAAATCATCCAAATATCAGACTCGACGACAAATTGGCGCCTTTTGTTTGTTGCTGAGAATCGATGGGTTTTTGAGAGGGAAAAGAATTGGGGAGATCCGCCTTTTTCTCTCAAAAACCAATCCAAAACATATCCAATTACAGAAAAGAAAGGCGCAATTGAAAGAAAAATAAAGAATCTTTGATTTGAGAGAAGAGACAGATTTGTGGGAAATTCTTAGAATTATGAATGATCGATGAGGGTTGGCGGAAATACGGGCTTATGACATTGTTTGGGATTGGTAATGATTTGTTTCAGAAATGGAATAGAAATAGAAAGATATTGGTTTATTTGACCCGAACTTACTGAAAACCACAAGTGGACATGGTGTCCAATAAAAGACTTTTCAACTCAAATTTTTGAAAAAGTTTAAGTAGCTTGAGGTCCTGATGTCAAAAGTGTCTTTTCGGGCAGGCAAATTTTTAAACTGAGAATTTTTGAATTTCACGACCTCTATTCACGAAAAATTTCTCACCACCAACTGCCATCGCCAAAATTTAGCTTTGAGTAGCGTGTTATGGTTCCAAACATCCAAATCCTGAGTCGAAATCTGACCCCAACTGCTAAATCTAAGACCCAGAAACACTAATTCTAAATGATTTACCAAAACGAGAGGAATAACAAGACGATTCGGGGTTGGGCTGACTGGCGTTTATAGAGAAACGATATTTAGATTTTTAATAACTTTATCGGTGATATAGAAGACACGGGTCCAAAGACCAATAGAAACTGAAAAAAAACCAACAAAAGTACAAAAACTCTAAAATTTTAACAATTTTGAAAAGAAACAGGGAAGGAGAGAAATTTTAATCATAAACAGAATTTTATAACGGGATAGAGAAAGGGGAACAACAGACAGAAAACAGACACGCGCAACAGAGACAGCGAAGCGCCGGACTGGATAATGATTCTTTAAAAGAATGAATTTT